GGACGCTGAGTAGACTGGTTTTGGTCCGAAAAGGCTGCGATGCAGCGTTCCTCCTTTATTCCCAATCGAACATGGTTGAACAAGTGGTCACGTGCTCCTGGGTGCCCAAAATGCCCCAAATCACCTGGTCACCACGCCCAGCAGGTGACAACTTTCACACCAAGGGTCAACTCGAGTTCAACTCGAGTGACAGGATTGCACCCAAAAAAGGTCAAACAGGCTAGTAAGTTGTACCCTGCAGGCACGGTGACCAGGTGACTGGCGTACGCAGGAGCACGTGACCGCTTGTTCAACCATGTTCGATTGGGAATAAAGGCGGAACGCTGCATCGCAGCCTTTTCGGACCGAAACCAGTCGACTCAGCGTCCAAAAGACTACAACATATGGGTCAATCGCGGTCATCCGTGCTTTTATAAGAACGAAATGGCGCTTTTAGTGACATTTTGCATACAAATCCCCATCTAGTAGGGCGCAGTCACCCAGTTTCGGTGGAAGTGCGCGAGTTCGATTGGGATTCAAGTAGGAAGGGAGCGTCTCAGCTTCCTCGGACCACGACCATTCGACTCAGCACCCCGAAGACTACAACTGGTGAAATTTTAATTTTTGCCTTAACTTCCCCTTTAACGGTGTAGGAAAACGAGGAGCTATCGATGATCACACTGCGTAATGGAAAGTCTGACTTCCCATAATAGTTCAGTGAGATTTCGTGTGTGTGGCATTCCTTGGCTCGCCAGCCATCCCTGGCACTAGCCGCATCTACTAGTTTGGCTGAATTCCATATTTCGCTAGTTGATTCAGGGTTTCCCCACGACAGGATCTTTGCATTGATGAAGTCGGTAATGGCTTTTCCCGTTGGCCAGTCAAGTTGTTTCTGGTTCAGAGAGTTCCCAAACATTTGAACCACCGTGCTAATTATTGATTTAAACCGGGACCAACGCACTCTCCCACGGTACTTTCCTACTTGTGTTCCCTTCAGGTTGGCTCGCAGCAGGTAGCTCCGGATCTGCATGGGACTCACCCTCTCACTAAATGAAACAACCTGGTTGATGATGTTGCAAGCATCGATGTAGGTAGGTGATGTTGGTTGTCGTGCATGATATGTGTTGTGAGGTTGAAGGCATTCCAATGTAGCGTAGACAATGATTTCACGCACTGACGGCTTTTCCATTCCTTTCCAGTTCAAGGGCAGTCCATTGGTTGCGTTGCTTTCACCTTCTGTACATGCTTGCCTAGAATTGTCACCGCAGGTTACGTTGCCTGTAATGCATGGAGCACAGAGTCAAAACAAGCAAAAACACGTCAATGCCACGAAGAATTGTTTTTCAACATCCTTGCATGTATCAAACCCACCTTGTGTGCAGGTTGCACTGCCTGTGAAATGCACTGATACACTGACAGATTGCTTTCCAACATCCTTGTATGTATGAAACCCACCCTGTGCGCTGGTTGCGCCTTCTGTATGACGTCAAGTTGAAATTCTGTTGTACAGCACCCATAGTCGAGTTGCACACCCTGGGGGGGGGGGGGGGGGGGGGGGGGAGTATGTACTCTTAACCCCAAGAGTGTGCAACTGCCTGAACAACCTCTATGCAGTGCTGCGACGGCAGAACTTCACATCACGTGACATGGTTCAAAAGGTTACACTGGCAAACAGTGCAAAGTGACCACAAGAGAGTTGTACCTAGGGCCGAAACGATTGCCCATTTTGCCTTAACGATTAACCAATAACACTAACGATCGATTTATTGGTTTTACCGATTTTCCGAACAAGTTTTATACGTGTCATGTTGGACATCAGTATACCGCAAAAACAAAATTTGTTCAACTATGTACAGGTACGTACGGGTGAAAGATCCACACAGGCCCAAAAAGGATCAAAATGAAATTTGCAACGTGATATGAGCAGTGTTCCTCTGCCATTAGGCATGAACGATCAGTCCTCTGTCTTCTACAATGGAGAAGGGTCGACTGGAATCGACAATCCAGTCGATGATCGACTCTGTCAACATGCCTGAGCGCCTGCTGTCGCAAGTTACATGTGCTGAAGAACGACGTGACGGGCTTCGTTCCAGCACTGGTCGTCGCATTGTCACTGCGCTCAACATTGCTGGTAGTCGTCGTTCCTGTCGACTGGGTTGCTGATCCTTTCCGTACCGCAGCGGCGTACAGGTCTTTATGAGCAGAAATCAGGTGCTAGAACAAGTTGGTTGTGCCGCTTTGACGGACGAGCTCGCGGCTGCACAAATTGCATCTCACTACGCTATCAGCTTCCTCGAAATATGCCCAAGCTGGCGATCTCTTGGTCCAACTAACTTTTGCTTTTACAGGCGGCAGCATTGTCACGGCTCTCCTCGCTAAAAAATCAAAAGTAACTAAGTTTTTGACAAGAACTGAACAAAATAGAAGGCCGGCAGCCATACTCACAGTTTCGCTACAACCTAAAATTATGAAGCTTTCCGGTTGATACTTTCCGGCTACGCTGACTAGTGCAGTGCATGCGCGGAGTGTACGACTACAAGTACAGTACCCAAAAGGATCAAGAGCTAGCGCGCAATGATTGTACGGACCTACAGCTTCATGCACGTGTACTTCGACGTTCATGTACTTGTGCGCATGACGCGCGTGCATGATGCCATGCATGGTCTGCATGTACTGACGTCATGACCGCTCTCGCACTGTACAGTCATAATCGTTATCGATCATAACGATTATCGATTTCATCCATAACGAGTGATATACGAGTAATCGGTATAATCGTTTCGGCCCTAGAACTTGTACCCAAAGCTGGGTTTCGTACAACCCTGTATCAATCATGCACAGAGTGCAAATAATGTGTACGGGTTCATCGCGTGACTTGAAGTTCTGCCGTCGCAGACCTCACAGCTGGAGTTGCACACTCTTGGGTTATGTACTCTTGGTGAAACGTATAGCCCACAGTCAAAACAAGGTAAATACACTGATGCACAGACCCACCCTGTGTGCTGGTTGCGCCTTCTGCGCGCGTGCACGTGGAGTTATCACAAAAGCGGGTTGCACTGCCTGTGAAACGCATAGCACACAGTCAAAGGAAGCAAAATACATTAATGCGAAGAATACTTGCTTTCCGGTGTCTCTTCATCTATCTAATCTGCCTTGTGTGATGTGTGTTTGTTTCGTTTGTTTGCTTTACCTTTGCAACAGTATGCCGATGGATTTCACTACAACGCCACCTTCCATAGCGTTTTCATTTCTATACCACCAGTTTATGTCCTGGTGTGGAACTTCTCTCTTAATACTTACAATACTCGTGCATGCACTGTGTGTGGTCACATGCCCCTACACGCCCGTGCCTTCATGTTTTTGGATAAGCGCGCACGTGTTTATATTGATTTGCATTAAGTGTGTGTGTGTGTGTGTGTGTGTGTGTGTGCGGCTGCGTTTGTACACATGTAATCAGTATGTTATGTTACGTGGATATCGTGAGTACATACTTGCTGGTAATATTTGCACTGCCGTGGCATTGCGTTCACATAGAACCTTCGCTGGAGGCCTGTCCGTGCTGGGGCAGGACTTCCTCTTGCCATGTATGCTGCAGAAATCAAAATAATAAGAAATATATTGGTGTCACAGCCAGTCATACGACTTCCTGGCACGTTCATGATGCCTATATAGATATAGAAAATGTTCATGCCTCTTTTACCCTCGAAGAAACGGAAAGAAACGAAAAAGAGCCCGGCCAGGTTGTGCCACTGTGTTCATAAGTCGGGTTCCTGGAAAGAACAGAGTGGTCGACGTTGGGACAAAGAAGTGCACCACGTCCGTCACACCGACTGTCGGACGCAAAAATACCCAAGACATTACCTGTTTTCTTTCTCGCGTACGGCTTCATTCACTTCCATGTTTCCACTTCGATCAGCCTGGGCGAACTATAGTGCACTTTTCTAACACTAACACCTGCCGAAGATCTGGTCGAAACGGGAAAGAGACCACCTCGGTGGGGCCGTTTTCCCTTCGTCGTCTCGACAGAATATTCAAGGTCGTCGACAGTTCTCAGCTGAAGAAAAAAATTCACGGATATTATGGGCTTGAGTCGGACCCTGTCCACGAAAATCTGTGACGTGTCCTCTCCCGGGTCTATACAACTCCCTGGATGTATCACATCAGGCAACACGTGGGTGCACGAGCTCGATTTTGATCTTTTGAGTTTCGCGCTACGAACCTACACGGCCACGGGCCGGGGATCCCGGACGCGGGTGCACTAGCGCTATGGGAGTATGGCCTAGCCGCCCTAGCCGCGCCTAGCGTCTGGCAGCTGGGTCCTGGATCATCGACCCATACCGTACAGTCTGTATCGGCTATAGCGTACCCTTTTGATTTCCGTGATTTTATCACTATAACCGATGCATCACTATATGCGATACGATCGATTTTTTCGATCGACACATGAAAGGCAAGGAAATACTTCCAGCATGGCGTTTTGACAAATGAGCATGCTGCATACTTGACAGTGCCCGCATTTCCATAAAAAAAATCTGTTATGTACATGTGTCACTATCAAAATAAGCAACGTGAAGAAAGTAAAAAAATAGGGCCTTTGATATTATTGCAACATGTATTTTAAAGTTATCACTATAGCCGATAATAATGTAGTGTGTTATGCATGTTTTGATTCTTTGTTGCCATCATAATATCCGATATATCATTACATCCGATAATATTGGTTATAGTGATATTTGTACTGGATAAAATACGTTTTGCTTTTGATATTTCGTACCAATATCACTGTAGCCGATATATTCTAAGTTATATCCGGTCACTCTATAGCCGATACAGACTGTACTCGTAGACCTCTACTCGTGCATGCAGTCGAGCATGCAGATGTACGCTAGGGCCCGGGTCGTTAGTACAGTGCGATCGACGATCGTACATGACTGTATCGCGTATCTGTGACATCACCCAGATCAGTCACCCAACTCCAAAATCCTTTTCACAACACATGAACACACAAGTGCAGTGCTAGTGAAGGTCGTAGCTTTGCATTCAGTCGAAAATAGTCAAAAAACCACCAACAGTGTCCAATCATTTTTAGTTTCCTTGAATATCTAGTTTGTCCTTGCATTTATAGTACAACCATACTGTCAAGTCTCTGTCTGAAGCTGATAATATACCTCGGCTAGTTTGGTTGGGACCTTGCATTATGGGCGAACGTAATTCGCTGCCATCAGAATGGGTTCGTTTGAATGTAGGGGGAAAGCTGTTCATGACAACTAGATCAACTCTCTGCAAAAGGGAGGATTCATTTCTCAGTCGCTTGTGCCAGGACGACCCCGGCCTTCCAACGTACAAGGTACTGGTGATGTCCCCTTCACTCTTGTGTCCCTTTCAAGCAGAAATCCTCATACTATTTCGTACTCTAGAAACCCTCACCAGCACTCAGTCTACATGTATTTGTGCCTTTCATCCATTCATGTTAGTTCAATCGAATGTACTTTGGCTTTCAGCTTACTTTCTACAATCACCAGGTACATACATATGTACGGTACGATTACTTAGCTCTGAGTAAATTATCCGTAGACCAGAGGGTCACGTAGAAGTTGTGGCCAACACAATTGCAACGTTTATAAATAGTACCAAGTCCTGTACAACGGCTGAACACTGCGCACGTGACTGACAAATTGGCGAATGGTTCTTGGCCAAATTATTAATTATAGCATTGGCACTTGCGATAAAATTGCAAAGTAACTGTAACAATTGCTGTTGCCAGATGATCGTAAGAAACGTGAAACTCAGAGTTGTAACAGAATTGCCTCTCTCTCTCTCCTTTAATACTGTTTTGTAACGTAACATAGTCGAGAGCTTGGTGACTTGTTTGGTCGGTGGTACAAAATTTCAGTTGATAAGCAATTTAGAACTTTCACTTGACTGAAAAATTAAGTGTTCAAACTGGATTTGACATCTACTGTAAACCAAGAAACCTTTGCGATCCTGTAAACGTTCGTAATTATCGCGATGGGGGTGGAATCGCGAAAGTAAGTGGGCGCGAAACACGAACCTGTAGGCTTGAGTCAATCATCAAATTGACCCCAATCGCAAACGTTTACAGGTGCATGCCAGTTGTGAACACAGCTTTACTGTTGCTGTTGTCATCATGTATGCAAACTTTGATGAAGTTAAAATAACTTGAAATTGCGCTCCCCGGTAGTACATTGCGTACTGCACTTGCCTGCGATCCGAGAGGTTGCGGGTTCGAGCCCCGCAGTCGCACATCTGACAGCAGAAATCCCCACGACGCAGCTCACCAGATCAAAGTGTGGGTCCTCTGCACTCATAGTCAAGTCGAGCGAGCTGCAACTCCCGGTGTCGAAAGGCGGCTACTTCCCCTTGTAACCTCCAAGACGAAATGATAGTAGCCGACTGGCCGAAACTAAAAAAATTGCATTTTTCCATTCCATAATGTATGCCGGAGAAAGCGCGGAGCGCCTACAATTCGTCGTATGGAAGCGGGACTTTGAGTTTGAAGGGCATGACCATCTCCTTTCTCCAACAAAGAAATAAACTCGTGATATTCTAAAATTTGACCTAAAAATAAAAAATAAATTAATTCGACAGGTTCGCGTACCGGGCAGGTCAAGAACAAGGAGTCGTACAACTCCCTGGTCAAGAACCACCTTTCCGCTTCCGTGGGACGCCAACATTTGACCTTGCCGTGCTGAAAAGCACTCTGATGTTGATTCTCCCATCGGAAGTATTCAAACCTTTCTTTCTGGTTGTGAGGAAGTAAAGTCCCTACTTCCAGACAATATGTAAACCAACACGTACAACTCTAACATGGTGTTATGTTGTGCATTGATGTCTGCAACTCTTGATACTCTTTATGGATCTTAACGCTCAATAAACTGCTATTGTTTTTGTGCTTGTCTTTGATGTGAAGGATGAAAACGGTGCATATCTCATCGATAGAGATCCCGACTATTTCTCGCCCATTCTGAATTACCTCCGTCACGGTAAACTCTGTGTCAATGAAGGTCAGTTTGGAGTGTGTGTGTGGTACATGGTGTGTGTGTGTGTGTGTGTGTATGTGTGTGTGTGTGTGTGTGTGTGTGTGTGTGTGTGTGGTGGTGGTGGTGGTGGTGGTGGTGTGTGTGTGTGTGTGTGTGTGTGTGTGTGTGTGTGTGTGTGTGTGTGTGTGTGGGGTCAATTCATCAGCCTTGCGAGCTGTTGAATGGTGTAATCCCAGCACAAGTTGCTATGTCTAACATAGCTGTTCGCTATCATCGCTTCCGCGATGGGCGGGTCTGAGGTCTGAGGTGTGTGTGTGTGTGTGTGTGTGTGTGTGTGATCCATAGCTGCCGAAGATGGCTCTCTCGTCGTGCCGATTGAACATGGTCCCTGATCTCTCGGCGGACTGCCGACTTTCTGCCGTTGCGCGTCGTTTTCCATGTTGTCGGCCCCGCGAAGGGACACGTGACCGTAATGGCAGTGTTTACCAGGACCAGGACCAGGTGTGTGTGGTGGTTGTGTGTGTGTGTGTGTGTCTGTGTGTGTGTGTCTGTGTGTGTGTGTGTGTGTGTGTGTGCGCGTGTGTGTGTGTGTAGTGGTGGTGGTGGTGGTGGTGGTGTGTGTGTGTATGTGTGTGTGTGTGTATGTGTGTGTATGTATGTGTGTGTGTGTGTGTGTGTGTGTGTGTGTGTGTGTGTGTGTGTGTGTGTGTGTGTGTGTATGTGTCCCATATGGTGCAGTTGTATGTGAAGCGATTTCCACTCGAGAGGTTGCGGGTTCGATTCCCGACGATTATGGTCACACACCTCTTTCTTCTCTTTCTCGTACTCCTCCTGCCTTTTCTTTCATTCTCCTGGGTGGTTACCAACAGGCAGTGCATGCCGGAGTATGTGGTGTGATGTGTGTGTAGGGAAAAAGGAGGAAAAAGACCAAAAAGTAGGGATTCATTGACCATAAAAAGCCGCTTTCTTAGCTGTGTGGTGTAGACCAGGCTGAATACTGGCGGTCAATTCTTCAGCCTTGCAAGCTGTTGAATGGTGCAATCCCAGCACAAGTTGCTATGCTTCTGCTGTAGCATCACTATCATCGCCTCCGGCGATGGGCATCCAATGGTGTGTGTGTGTGTGTGGGTGTGTGTGTGTGTAGCTGTGTTATAAAGGTGCACTGCTATGCCTACCATCGCCATTCTGCATGTATCTGAATTGGCTTGGGTTGGCAGGGTACTGTAAACCGGGAAATGTTTTCGCCGCTTTTACATTGCGATCCGCGAGCACTTTGCACCGGGAAATTTTGCTATTGGAGTCCATTTCATGAGGGTTTTTTTACTGCAGGCCTACGTTTCTTACCGGCTTCTTTTCTTCGATTTCACACCCATTCCGAAATCGCAATCGTTTCCAGTTTTCAGTACAGTAAAACCTGCCCTAACCACGCCCTCGGTGCAGCGGAAACTGTCCTGATATGACAGGATTCCCCTTGGTCCAGGGATGCTAGTTTGATTCACAACAATTTATTGAACAAATGGCGAGGAGACAATAATTTGATGACCGCAATCAATAAGACAAGCAGAATCGACATTTGTGATCGACATTTGTGTATACTTTATTCATGCAATGTAAAACGGTGGAGACAATGTGCAATAAAATGATGAAAAGAGGAAGAAATAGTGTAGAATTCAACTCGGACGGTGAGCCAATTCAATTATGGTGAAAAAGGAGAAGAGCAAAATGTTACGACTATTCAAGATAGGGCTTTAATTTATTTCATTGGCTCTCCGAGACTGGGGCACTATTCAAGAGAGGGCTCTAATCGCGCGAGCAGGGTACCTGGTCACTTTTGCCACCCCTAGCTTCCACAAACCCCACCAACCATTTCTACACTCCTACCCTAACTCTACCTCGTCTGTGTCAACTCACAGCAGTTACTACTCCACCACCACTACTGACTGCCAAAACTGGTCATGTGGGTCTCCCCGGACAGGGGAGCGATGTGCAAAAGGAATCTTGGAAAGATAACTCAATTGGCTTTTGAACCACCCAACGGCCGACGCCCCCTGAAACCCCCTAACTCTGGCTTGACTTGGAAATGATCCCACTTATAGGGGATTCACATACACGGTAAAACCACAGTTTTTGGGAAAGTTGTTGTGGAAAGTTGTTATGGAAACCATGGTACTGGGGAAAGAAAGAACCTCTCGGGAAAAAAAATTGGCAAAGCTGTGTCCATGGGTCTCAGGGTGTTTGTCAAAGGAAAACCCCACGGTTATACGATGCATGTGCTTAGATCTTGTCTTTGGCAAGAACTCTGAACCCTAGTTGTACGAATGCATCGCAGGCTGCATTTTCAGACAGTGTTCACGCGGAAAAATCGTGCATGGCGTACATGTACCTCCACGCTCCTCCAGTCAATCGTTTTCTATCTGAATGTGAATGTGGGTGTTGTATATGTATGTGTGCATGTGCATGTACCTGTGGGTGTGGTATGTCTATACGTATGCGTGTGCGTGTTGTATGTGTGTGTGTGCATGTGCGTGTTGTATGTATACTGTGTGTTCTGTAGGCGTATCCATGCACGCCATCCTAGAAGAAGCAGAGTTTTACAACATTGCTTCTCTTGTAACCCTGGTCAAGCAACAACTAGATGAACCCAAGTCAGAAGATGAAGAGAAAACTATGGTAGGTGCTGATATGCTTTTGCTGCTGCTGCTGCTGCTTATCGCTCTCATCTTAATACCTGCTAGCTGTTAGCTGTTCTTTATCCAGGCTTAGCATGCGTCACTGCTCCCTGCACCACTCACCCATGTGTACTGCATCACTGCTCCCTACACCACTCACCCATACGTACTGCATCACTGCTCCCTACACCACTCATCCACACGTATTACATCACTGCTCCTTACACCACTCACCCATATGTACTGCATCACTGCTCCATCTATCTATCGTCCGTTGTTCTGCTTCGACTACCGTAGCTGTGATGTACAAATTCTTTGTACTTTGATCTCTGGCTACGCATGATGGCATCAGCGAGCCAAACAGCCGCCAAAGACTGATGTCATAAAAAAATTCCGCCATGGGCTGGGGGATCGTCGAGTTGCACACTCTTGGTTATGTACTCTTGATGACGCGGAGGAAGTACTTGTATACATTGTACATGCGGAATACCTCGGACTGAAGAAAACTCACATGTTGCGGCCGCATGAAAAATGACGGTCAGTCGGGTGACCCCGAGACATCGAATTAATTCTGGGTGGCCTAATCTAAGTAAATATGGACAGCTTTGCGAGCACGGAGGATCCCTTCTGCACAGAAATTAGCACTGATAATTCAAAGTCATGACATTCTAGAGTTTCTAATTTGAACCGGCTCTTACAAGTACTTATGCCATACTTGCTACACAAAGGGGCTTGAGACTCGACTAACAAGTTAGTTGCGGGTCCAGAAGCAGCAGTCTGTCCTGGCAGAGGAGCTTCAAGAAGGCGTTGGCGGTGTTACTTTTGAATGTGAAAAAGGACGTTTCTTGTTCTTTGCCGCTTGATTTTCCTTTCAGCATCCGCTTTTCCTAGACAAATTCCCTAATTTGAGCTCTTGGTTTTTGTAGAATTGTAGCTCCTGAGTACATTTTAGGTTTTATCCGTTAGGTTACTTTGCTCGCATATTAGATATTGTCTTTTTAGTGACAAGGACCAAGAAACTACAAATTACACTATATGTCCACTAACACCACGAGTTACTAAACAATCAGCTCATGCGATAACATTGCACGACACTGACCGACACTGACCGATGAGCATCCTTGGCTCTCCATCCGAGTTCCGTCTTTTTAGTGGTCGGTATTAGAAATTACTTGTCTTGCTCTTTGTTATTTTGTGAGAGGTCACCGTGGCGTGCTCGATTTGTCCCCTTGTTGAATTCATCTTTGTGTCCTTTGGCTGAACTCTGAAGCAAGAGCAGCACTACCTACATGCGCTATCTTCACGTGGCTAGGGCACCCTGTAAGAAGACCATAGGTCTGTGGGGAGTGCCCTAGTAAAATATGAATAAATAATAATAATAATAATAATAATAATAATAATAATAATAATAATAATATTAACTGGTTTGAGGGAAAGAGACAAACGGGAAAAGTCTGAAGAAAAAATTGACTGTCACCACCAGGACACGAACCAGGGACCTTCGCTTGTAGCCAGCGATGCTCTAACCACTGAGCTATGGTGTAGTCGTCATCCCAGCAGAGGCCGTTCAACATTTTCTTCAGACTTCGTAACTCACACTTCCTATGAATCCACACAATAATAATAATAATAATAGGGAGGAGACCTGGCTATTGTGCAACAGGAGGCTATACAAGGTTCGATTAAAATACTGAGAACTATCCTTAACATGTAGATGCACCTCTGCTGCGTTTGCATGTTCAATAGCTAAGAGACTTGAATAACGACTGATAAAGACTGATATTTCCTTTGTTACTACTCCCTTCATTGGTTGATGTATTTTGCCTGTCGCTGCAAATTCTTTATTATTGTTTTGATGTTGGAGTTCGGATTGAGTTTCTTTCCTTTCTTCCTCTTCCTTCAACTAGTTCTTGTCCCTTTGGTTTTTAGGTTTTATTTATTTATTTATTTTTGTTTTTGTTTTTTCACTTTCTTTTTGCTGTCCCACCCATGGAAATATTTCCCGGTGGGTCTGGCTTATCGCCTTCGAAAGAAGTGAATAAAGGAGAAATAATAATAATAATAATGTGAAAGAGCATGACATCGTAGCTGAAGGTCATCTCGTAGCTGTGAAATTGCATACAACTTGTTAGTTGTTCTGCACTTGTGTACAAATAAGTGAAATAACCCTCAGTTCAAAGGAACTGGCGGCGCTAATTCAAGGGTGGCTGCTAATCAAGCGGCGTTGCAATCATGTGTGAGATTTTCGAGACAATCTCATTTTTCCATTGTCATTTGGTGTGAGGTTTTGTTGCATGAGCACTGTGTGCAACTTTGCTCTTATTGAGTGTGTTGTGTGTTGATGTGCACTCATGCATGCTCAGGTATATCGTGTACTGTCTTGCCGGGAGAGAGAGCTCACTCAAATGTTGTCCACTATGTCCAGAGGATGGAAATGCGAACAGGTAAGCCTAATTGTATTGGTGGGGAGGGTGGGGGCTGCTGATCGCTCTTTCCTCTATTATGGTCTTAGCCTCTTAGACCCAGTCCAATGTGCCTGGCAGAGAGAGAGAGAGACAGAGAGAGGGGGAGAGACAGAGAGAGAGAGAGACAGAGAGAGAGAGAGAGAGAGAGAGAGAGAGAGAGAGAGAGAGAGAGAGAGAGACAGAGAGAAAGAGAGAGAGAGCCAGAGAGAGCCAGAGAGAGCCAGAGAGAGCCAGAGAGAGCCAGAGAGAGAGAGAGAGAGAGAGAGAGAGAGAGCGAGAGAGAGAGAGAGAGAGAGAGAGAGAGAGAGAGAGAGAGAGAGAGAGAGAGAGAGAGAGAGAGAGAGAGAGGGAGAGAGAGAGAGAGGGAGGGGGGGGGGGGCTGATCCTGGAACTGCTCTGTTTCTGTATCATGGTCTCAGATAGGGGTGCCATCGGGTAGCAGGGTACACACTCATGCTACCCGTAGTGGGAGCGGTCAGTTGGGTAGCTGTTTGCGCCTGAGAAGTCAATCGAGTACAGTAGGTATCGGTTATAGCGTGGGTGTTTGAAAAACGACTTTCTATTCTTATTTCCGATATTTCTTACACACGGTAAATGCAGTGTGACATCATATGCATGTACGCAGAGGCAGGAAGATCATCGTAGATCTACATGCAAGGTAGTGCTTCTGTGGATGCGGCTGGTCATAGTCCCATAGGTTTACCATGTGGCTATGCAACATGAGTTGCATGACCACACCAGTTGAACCTGCAGCACTACGACGCAACGCGAGTCAGATCAGAACTGCATTGGACGGATGTTATTACCGTAAAATCCCGCCAGAGCGCCCCTACCTCCTCGACGCTTCGAGTAGATTCAGGTGGGGAGGGGCGGATGGGCGAGTCCTACTTGCCGCATTCAGTACTACAAGAAAAAGTACTCCCCTACAAAAACTGTTCGTGTTTCTCGTACACCGACCAAAGGTCAAGAGCCAGGAGTAGTACAGACCCGTCAAAACTCAGGGTTTGTGCGATCCCTGGTCAAGAGGGTGGGCACTGTGGCGTATATTTCTAACGGGGTCGAGCACTCGACTGCAGTACAGTACGGCATCACAGAGTCATACGAGGATACAATCAGTCACTTCCCTGACAAGAAGTCAGAGAGGGGCGGATGGGAGAGACGGGGCGCTCTGGCGGGATTTCACGGTACTACAGGCGATATACTTAATACTAATCTGGCATGTTACGCTACACAAAGTCCATTCTTAGCACCGATATATTCTACTACTTGGTCCGGCTCATCGCAATTGTCGCTTATCTATCGCCACTAAGAACAGGAGTTTTTTTACCGCTCTGAAATTTCCAGGAGGCATAGTGAGGAAGCATGATACAAGAATACTCTCCGCCACAAGAAAAAAATTCAGCAATGGAATCAGGTGAAGCGAGTCGTAGAAAGGAAGCAAGGTAAGCAAAATACACAAAATAAATCCACGAAGGAGCGCGTTCTTGCACTCACACTCTTACAGGTCCAGAGTTCATTCAACGTTACATGAGCGTGGGCAGTGTGACCTGTGTGTCGCCACAACAAAGCCTTAGAGGCATACAGGCCTCTCCAGACAGCTGTCATACGCTCCACTGGATACGCTGACCACGACTCTTGTAATGCTGCTGCTCGGTCCACCAAGCAAGGAACAACAACCGTCCGCCGGGCGCATCGCATCAAAAACACCTTTCTTCTTCAGCATGACGCTCATGCGGCTCATACTCCTCTGCAGTGCACGCGTGCCTGTCACGCTCTTCAGGATGTCAGTTGCCCCCACCACAGTTCCGGTCTTCGGGTCGCTGCGCTTGGCTTTTGGCAACACAGACAGTGAATGACCAGATTCCCACTTCCCAAAAAAAGCTGAACACATCGCGATTCAAAGCGCTAGTCGCGATCATTTTTTTTGGTGCCTCCTTTGATCTTGCCATCACAACCTCCCAAGCAAAAGTAAGTTAGATATCGTGATTGGACTGGGTTTTACCTGTCAAAAGGTGCGTGGGAGATAAGCAACAATTGCGATGAGCCGGACCAAGTATACGATAACATTGCTTGTAAGAATAAAATAATGTGCACTTGAAACCCATGTGTTAGGGACGTTTAGCAATGCAAAAATTCGAACTTTTGGTGGTGGCGATATTTCGCGAAAATCTATTTCGAAAAAGAAAACTTGTGAGGTTTAGCAATGCAAAACGACTTTTTCTCGAAGCTATTTGAATCTTATAGTACCGTACCGTATATGCAGCTCAGTCTCAAGCAGGGGGCTGTAAAATTACTACTCCCTGTAGTGAAATGCGTACCGAGAAAAGAGAAAGTTACTTTCGCAAATCACTGCAACTTCGCGTCCAAGTTTTCGAAGTTTCGACCTTTGTTTCTGTACTCATTCCCAGACTCGAATTTTCTTTCGAACTTTCGCGTTGCTAAACGTCCTTAATATGATTAAGGAAACATGAGAGTTCATTCTTGCAGGCAGAATATCCTTTTACACGACCACACTATAACTGATAAGCACTGTACTAGTTGGAGTATGGTGTTTACGCAGCGGTACAGTCACCTTCGCGTATAACCACACTCGGCCGGGCATCAGAAAACTGTCCTTATTCGCGAAGTGTTCTTATACCCGAAGTCTCATTACATGTAGGCTGATTCTGGTACTGCTCTTTTCTCTATCATTGTTATAGACCAACCAACCCACTGTGCGCAGCTGTGTGTATGTGTGTGTGTGTGGGGGGGGGGGGGGGGGGGTGCTGATCCTGTACGCTCTTTTTCTATCATGGTCTTAGACCAGCTCACTGTGTATGGTTGTGCTTGGATTTTCTCCATTGCCTAATCATCTATTGTATCATCTGGCTGGGCGTGTGTGTGTGTGTGTTTGTGTGTGTGTGTGTGTGTGTGTGTGTGTGTGTGTGTGTGTGTGTGTGTGTGTGTGCTGTTGTTGTCTGCAGGTTATTCCTCTCAATCATTCCTATAGTCAGGCATCAGATCACACCGAGTTCCTGCTGGTCGTGTCGCGTTCTGTAGAGCGTCAGCCTGTTTCTCCCTTCTCGGGCCAGTCAGATAAGCTCAGCAGAGTCGGACAACATTGCTGACCAGCTGGCTGGCGCTGGATTTAGGGACAGCATTGCTGACCAGCTGGCTGGCGCTGGGTTTAAGCGCAGTCTCGCTGTACTCGGGTCAGTGATCAGTCTCTTGTGCTGCCATTGCCTGCCGCTGGCCGGGAGAGCCTTGTGCTTGCGCCTAGCTACATGCTTGTTACTAGTGTTAGCAGGTGATTACTTAGCCCGCGCTTGTTTGGTCTTGTGGCTCTACAGTCATTTGTTTCCAGCCATCTTATGTACACTGACTGAGTCATGTACTAATCCGAGCACCAGCAAACAGGTATTTGTACGTGTGTGTGTGTGTGTGTGTGTGCGCGTGTGTGTGGGTGAGGTGATCGAGTGCTGTGTGGGTCTGCTACTGCCGAAAGCACTGCCACACCTGGACATGCTGTACATGTATTGCAGCTGTCCTGTACCAGTGCTGCTTCTGCTGTTGCTGCTGCTTCTGCTGTTGCTGCAGCTGATGTTGCTGTTGCTGCTGCTTCTGCTGTTGCTGCTGCTGGTGCTGCTGCAGCTGCAGTTGATGATGCTGCTATTGTTGTACATATTGTACATGTTGATGTGCATGTTGCAGTGCATGAATAACATGCAACACAGTGACTGTATGTACTGCTATGATAGACACCAAGTGCCAGCCGTTAGTTCAATATGATCGTAGTACTTGTAGTTGTATAATACTTTAGTCGGCATGTTACTCACCCGTGGCTCTAGCTAGTACACCCATCTATCATTCACAGCATGATTGTGTGTTGTCTAGGCATATACTGGATACTATCATAGTTGTGGGTGCTTTCTCAATTTTGAATCCTTTTAAAACTGCTTCATTCAAAGTAGTTCCCTCTGCCATTTATCATCTTCAAACAATACAGATTTCTCTATACTTTATATCGTCTATTCACACTAATCAGCCACCCTGCCTTTTTCTACTTCTTCTGAAAGGTCCACTCTCTTTTCTTTTATCGGAAGAGCTGTCTGCTCTTCACTGAATCAGTCCAGGTTGGACACAGAGTGTAGCTGCATACTGCGGCAGCAGCATGTCCCAGTAACCACACATGCAATACAATACACACACACATTATTGTGTGGGCGTATTGCGCCACACACTGCTAGTCTGCTCTATGTTTATACATCGTATCAGGAATCGATCTCTGCACACCGCTACAGCTTGTGTGTGTGTGTGTGTTCCTCTCTGTGCGTGCAAACTTGCTCTCATTTTGCTCTTTATCACTTCAAGTCTCTTCTATCAAAAAAATAATGCTTGTGTGTGTGTGCGCGCACGCGTGTGTGTGCGCGCACGCATGTGTGTGTGTGCGCACGCGTGTGTGTGCCGCATGTCTAGTTTAGTGTCGAGTGTCTGCTTCTAGCAAAGCAGCGTCCTGTCTATACTAGTTACCCCAGCGAGTGGAGGGTGTGCATAGGCAACTGTCGTGACCATTCTATTCCGATATGCTCCGTGTGGTGTAGACCAGGTGTGCATCGTGGCGGGGATTCACATGTTTTCGTCAGTTGTTTGGATTTGGCAGTTGTCTTGATCTGTTTCATTCAGATCTGTTCTGCTGTTGTTGCGATAAGAGAACATCTGTGGTTGTACATCCAGTGCAGTCGCAGGTTTACGTGTTTCTGTTGCGCCGAGCGTACATGGTTCATGGTCTGTGTGTACATGTATGTGTGTACACGTGCGTGTGTGTGTGTGTGTGTGTGTGTGTGTGTGTGTGTGTGTGTGTGTGTGTGTGTGTGATGATCATAGCATAGTCGAATGATGTTTGTAATTTCCTGGGCTGATCCACACCTCATGTCTTGGGTAGATTACTACATAGTACATTGAGAAAGAGAGAGTACATGAGCGGCGTGTAGTTCAGCAAATTCATGTAGCAGGTTTACAAGGCGTCGATTGCTTTGCATCCAGTTGCTGGTCAACAGGTGATGGTGGACCATCTTCTTGAAGTGTGTGTGTGTGTGTGTGTGTGTGTGTGTGTGTGTGTGTGTGTGTGTGTGTGTGTGTGTGTGTGTGTGTGTGTGTGTGTGTGTGTGTGTGTGTGTCTTCAAGCCTTCAAGGTACCAGTGCATCTAGTGTCTGCTTCCAGGCTATCAAAGCAGCGTGCTGTATACTGGTTACCCCAGCAAGTGGTGTAGGGTGTGCATAGGTCTTGGCCATATTATGCCGATGTACTCCGTGTGGTGTAGACCAGGTGTGCATTGGTGGTCGATTCACATGGCTTCGCCAGTTGTGTGGATTAGACAGTTATCTGGCGCAAGTCTTGATCTGTTTCATTCAGATCTTGTTCGCTATCGTTGCTATAAGAGAAAATCTGTGGGTGCACATCCAGTGCATTTGCAGATTTGCGTGCTTCTCTTGCAACGTTCGTATACATGGTACATGGTGTGTGTGTGTGTGTGTGTGTGTGTGTGTGTGTGTGTGTGTGTGTGTGTGTGTGTGTGTGTGTGTGTGTGTGTGTGTGTGTGTGTGTGTGTGTGTGTGTGTGTGTGTGTGTGTGTGTGTGTGTGTGTGTGTGTGTGTGTGTCTGTTGAATGGTGCAATCCCAGCACAAGCTGCTATGGCTTCTGCTGTAGCATCGCTATCATTGCCTCCGGCGATGGGCGTCCAATGGTCCAATGGTGTGTGTGTGTGCGTGCGTCTATGTGTGGGGCGGCCTCGGCTCGGGCCAAGACCCTTCGACACACCATGTGTACACCACCTCGAACGCTGCAAGTCAGGTGCTACATTCTAGTGGTAGTCATACATTAGCGCCCATGACTGTCTCCTGATTCCCTAGTATTCCCTACCATCAATCAATGATCAAGAGAGAACCACGGGAGGTAACTGATTATCGCAGTATGGTACTGGTGCCATCAAGCACTGATCTGTGTGGCGCTAATTTTATTAGACTGTTGTTGCTAAGTCTTGTTAAAAGTGAGCGCTAGTACTAGTAGTAGTGTCTTCTACAAACGTCTTTATATCATTCTATCTTCGTCCTCATCCTTATCATTTTTTACTTCAAAGTTCATGTACTTTTCTCGCCATGCTACGTGAAAAAGGGAAAGAAAGTGCAATGCATCGCATGCAGTGGGTTCTTGTGCATATGCGCATGGGTGCAGTGCATGCATACCAAATGGGGCATTTTTGAAGATTTCCACGTAGCAAGAAAAAGAAAGAGAAAGACACTAGCGAATAATATCGCGAGAGCGCTAGGAATATCAACCATTAAAACATGGTCGACACCGCGCCGGTCAAAGATCAAGGTCAAGCATGATGCATTGCAGGGCAGGCATACCAAATGGGGCATTTTTGAAGATTTCCACTGTAATAATTTCCACGTAGCGAGAAAAAGAAAGAGGTAGCATGGTGGTTTAGTAGTCTAGATACAGTGCAACGAGTGTTAGTTTCCAAGATCTTTACAAGACTGGCGAACACTAAATGTCATGAAGAAAGTGAAGAGAAAGGAGGTTTATATAGGAAAGAGATTGTGATAGAAGACTGTGCAATGAAGTTTGTTGTTTTGTTAGATATCTGACGTGTGCTGTTTGGAAGAAGTGTTTGGATGCAAACAGAACTTACAAGAGATGAGTAAAGACTACTTTTCTACAATAGCGTTGTAGGCGAGGAGTGCGTAACATCAAAAGATGTCGTAATGTGTATTGGAACTATGCTAGCCAAACATTACGTAATTATTATGGTAGCGAAGCACGTGTAGTAGGTATTACAATGTGTGCGAGAGTATGGTGAATCAGTGTTTGTGATGATGAGGAAAATATGACGTGTACATGCAAACAAATGATGATGTCATGATGCGAGAACGTCAGAGACGCTACAGAGCTCCCCTCCTAGTGAATGAGTAATGAGCGATAACTAGCGCGATAAAGTGAGAGCAAGCAAATGGGATAAGCGAGAGAGTGTCAGAAATAGGCGGGAAATCTGACTTGACGACCAGCTCGTGTTTGGCGTGGTGGAGGCACGTCGAATGCGAGCGATGGCGTCGGCTTGGTCGGATGGCAATGGTCGACAGACTGGTTGTCATGGAATGCGGGTTTGAGTCGGTCGATGGATACTGTGTCGGAGCGGCCGTTGAGGTCGAGGCGGAAGTACTTATCATGACGTTCCAGGACTCGGTGTGGACCAGTGTAAGGACGTTGGAGGGGCGTTCGTGTTGCATCTGTGCGAATGAAGACATGAGAGCATGTCGAGAGGTCAGCTGGAATGAACGGATGCTGGGTGGGTGGCTTGCGGGGTTGTGTAGGGCGGAGCTCGGACATGGCTTGTTTGAGGCGGCTGACATAGGACGTCGGATCCGGAAATGGCTCAGGCTCGTCAGTGAGGAAATCACTTGGCAGGCGGAGGTGGCAACCGTAGACCATTTCTGCAACTGAGCAGTTGAGGTCAGCCTTCAGGGAGGAGCGAATGCCGAGCAGGACTAGTGGCAGATGTTCCGTCCAGCGCTGTGGATTGTCGGAAGCTCGGAGTGCAGCTTTCAGTTGTCTGTGAAAGCGCTCTACCATGCCGTTGGCAGCAGGGTGGTAAGCCGTTGTACGAATGCGAGATGTGCCAAGTAGTGACATGAGCGATGACCACAGGGATGACTCAAATTGGGCACCTCGGTCGGTTGTGAGCACAGTGGGAACACCAAATCGGGCGACCCAGGTGGCAACAAACTGGCGAGCGACGGTTTCGGCTGTAATGTCGGGAATAGGTACTGCTTCGGGCCAGCGAGTAAAGCGATCTACCATCGTCAAGAGGTAGCGAGACTCACTAGAAGATGGAAGCGGGCCTACGATGTCGACATGGACATGGGAGAAACGGGCATCAGGTTGCTTGAATGCACTCACGGGAGATGTGGTGTGGCGCTGAACTTTAGACTGCTGACAAGCGTGGCAGGTACGACACCACTCACTAATATCCTTGTTCATTGCGGGCCAGACGTAGCGAGCTGTAATCAGGTGCCTGGTAGCGCGGGTACCAGGGTGGGAGAGGCCGTGAAGCGAATTGAAAACAGCACGGCGCAGCTTGGCAGGTACATACGGGCGGGCAGACGCAGTAGAGGTGTCACAGATGAGCGAGTGATCAGTCATGGGCAGAGCTATAGATTGCCAGCATAGCGAAGTGGATGGATCCTTACCAGGACTTGGCAAGTCTGGATCATCTTGTTGAGCGGCGGCAAAGGAAGCTGTGTCAATGGCAGTGATGGCAGAGACGGGCTCATCGGGTAGGTGGCATCGTGACAGTGCATCAGCGGCAGCATTCTGAGAACCCTTGACATGACGAATATCTGTCGTGAACTCAGCAATGTACGACAAATGGCGCTGTTGACGCGGGCTGTGGGTCTGTGAACGGCTGTGGATGGCATGTGTCAGAGGCTTGTGATCGGTGCACACATGGAAGACACGCCCTTCCAGGAAGTGTCGGAAATGCTTAATGGCTAGGTAAATAGCGAGGAGCTCTCGACAGAAGGTGCTGTAGCGTGTCTCAGCAGGCTTTAACTTGCGTGAAAAGAAGGCAACAGGATAACACTCACCATCTAGCTCTTGTTGGAGGACGGCACCAACAGCAATGTCTGAAGCGTCGACCATCAAGCTGTAGGCGGCATCCGGGCGAGGATGGTGAAGTGTGATGGCCTCAGTGAACGCAGCTTTGACATCATTGAAAGCAGCGATGGCCGAGTCGGACCAGACGAGCGCGCCTTTGGTGCGGTGGCGTTTCTCAAGCATAGCGTGCAGAGGTGCGAGCTTAGCAGCAAGATGTGGCTGAAATCGGTGATAGAACGTGACGAAGCCGATGAACTCACGGAGCTTACGAACACTAGCTGGCTGTGGGAATTCACGAATGGCGGTCATGCGAGCGTCGAGAGGTCGGATACCTGAGGCAGTCACGTGATGTCCCAGGAAGTCAAGCTCATCCTGGCCGAACTGCGACTTCCGGACGTTGATCAAGATGCCATGTGAAGCAAGGCGGGAGAATATGCAGCGAAGGTGGGCCATATGTTCAGCGGGTGAGGCGCTAGCAATGAGCAAGTCATCCAGATATGCAAAGCAGAAGGGAAGGTCTGAAACTACCTGGTCAATGAAGCGTTGGAATGTCTGGGCTGCGTTGCGAAGGCCAAAGGGCATGCGGACAAACTCAAACAGTCCAAAGGGGGTGGTGATGGCAGTTTTCGGGATGTCGTCAGGGTGCACAGGAATGTGGTGGTATGCACGGACGAGGTCAATCTTAGAGAATATGATCTTGTCATGCAGGTGGGACGTAAAGTCTTGAATATGCGGGATGGGATAGCGGTCGGGGATCGTGCAGTCATTCAAGGCTCGGTAATCACCACAGGGTCGCCAGGCACCGGATTTCTTTGGCACCATATGCAGAGGGGATGACCATGCACTAGAGGAGGGACGAATAATGCCTAAATCTAACATGTGTTGGAACTCACACTTAGCGACAGCAAGGCGGTCGGGTGCCAGACGGCGAGGCTTAGCGTGGACAGGGTGGCCATCTGTGACTATGCGGTGCGTCACATTGTGCTTGACAGGCGAGTCACCAGTGGTCGGTCGGACAAGGTCAGGAAACTCACTCAGCAGGGCAGAATACTCACTAGGGCTGTCAGTGTCCAGCAGGTTGGTAGCGGAGGTGCTGACATCCGAGGCGGATCCGACAACGGCAAGTTGAGTAGTGGAATCCCGGAGACATCTGGCGGCCAGGTCGACAGTGAGTTGGAAGTGGCCAAGGAAATCCGCACCCAGGATCGGATAGCTGACGTCAGCAACGACGAAGACCCATTTGAAAGTGCGTCGGAGACCTAAGTCTAAATCTAGCAGCTGCTGACCGTACGTGGCGATGCTGCTCTGATTCGCTGCACGGAGACGAGGACTATTGCGATGAACACGACGAGACAGAGTTACGAATGACGGAGGAAGAACACTGACGGCGGCGCCGGTGTCGACAAGGAACTCGACGGACTGGGAGCGATCCTTGACGAATAGTAGGCGACCGGTAGCGGTATTCGAGGGGCCAACCACACTAGCGGTCGCGACTAGTGGCTGGCCTTCCCGTTTCCCGACAGGAATCGGCAGGGGTCTCGGCATTTGTTCGCCTTCGCACCGAACGCACGGTGATACCAGCAAAGGTCGTCGTGATTGTCATGGCCGGGAGACCTGGAGGCACTTGGGTGGCGTGACGGTGGCCCGGGACTACGCTCTCGTTGGCGGCCACGCTGGGAAGGGGCACCAGTGTCACGGGTCATCACATTCACAGCGGACGTCAGCTTGGCGAGTTCAGCTCGGAGCTGGGCCATCTCAGCCCTGTCAGCGGTGCAGGCCTGTTCCGCATCTGTGGACGCTGTAGATCTACATGATAAGGCCGTACTAGACCGAGCAGGGGCTGCACTCAGAGTCAGAGCGTGAACACTTGTACCGGTGAGTGGGGTTGAGCACGTGCTATCAACCATCTTGTCAGCAAGCGCGGCGCGAGGTCGGCCAGGCTGAGGCACCAGTCGACACGGGCAAACGCTGTACAAACAGCTCGCGCAGGATAGTCGGGTCTAGAGACTTACTGCCCGAAAGCGAGCGGAAGCGGAAGAACCAGCGTTGCTGGACATATTGCACTTTACTCACGTCGGAGGTCACCAATTTAGTAGTCTAGATACAGTGCAACGAGTGTTAGTTTCCAAGATCTTTACAAGACTGGCGAACACTAAATGTCATGAAGAAAGTGAAGAGAAAGGAGGTTTATATAGGAAAGAGATTGTGATAGAAGACTGTGCAATGAAGTTTGTTGTTTTGTTAGATATCTGACGTGTGCTGTTTGGAAGAAGTGTTTGGATGCAAACAGAACTTACAAGAGATGAGTAAAGACTACTTTTCTACAATAGCGTTGTAGGCGAGGAGTGCGTAACATCAAAAGATGTCGTAATGTGTATTGGAACTATGCTAGCCAAACATTACGTAATTATTATGGTAGCGAAGCACGTGTAGTAGGTATTACAATGTGTGCGAGAGTATGGTGAATCAGTGTTTGTGATGATGAGGAAAATATGACGTGTACATGCAAACAAATGATGATGTCATGATGCGAGAACGTCAGAGACGCTACAGTGGTACATGGTAGACATGGTGGGCTTTCTTTTTTCACGCCACGCTACGTGGAAATCTTCAAAAAAATGCCCCATTTGGTATGCCTGCCCTGCAATGCACCATGCTTGGCCTTGATCTTTGACCGGCGCGCGATGTTGACCATACATGGGGGAAAAAGGGGGAAAACATGTGCATAATAATGATTGGGTACATGACAATCATTATGGGTGCATGCATGCATGCATGCAGCGCATGCATACCAAATGGGGCATTTTCAAAGAGTTCCACGTAGCGAGAAAAGAAAGAGGAAGATGCTAGCGCGAAAGATCGCGCTGTCAACCGTGATCGACACCGTAGATCTACCGTGATCGACACCGTAGATCTACCGGTCAAAGATCAAGCCATTCAAGATCGATTCAAGGCCACGCGAGCGCGTGCACGGCCCGGGTGATTTTTTTTAGCGCGGCGCTAGCATAGCAGGTTCCTTTATTTTTTTTAGCATACTAGTATTGTGGTAGTGACAGTAGCAGCCATCAGGTCCTGAAACGGGTCATAGCGACTGTCTTGACATTGTCATTATTGAGATGTGAGCAGAGCAAGACGTTTTGGCTAACTAACGGCTAGCCTGTTTGTTGACGCGGGAGGTTACATGTACGCGACTTGAGTTGGCAGAGAGGCGGCTACTTGACCTATCGATCATCCCTATGTCGTGGAGGAAAACTGAGCTGCGACGAGAGACCTCACTCAGCGATGATGTCATCGTTCAATGGACAGCTTGGTGTTAGTTATTGTTGGAGAATGGCAGAGTGAGACGGTACGTTTTCCGAGTCTATTGCTCATCCTATAGCACAAACGCAGACAGTTTTAACTGAACATAATGTAAACATGTTTTCAAAAGAGCAATCAATAGGACAAGCTGGATCGACATACCATTAATACTTCATTAAATTTGTAACAAAAATTGTGTCTGAAGAAATATGTAGATCCAGCTTGTCCTATTGTAGTATTGAGTGCTCTTTTGAAACTATTGACCCCTTGTTACTTATTCAAAGTTACATAATCAGAATACAATATGACTGTATTATTTTTTTAGAACACGGAGGCTCCACTGCAGCCAATTCATATCACGATCAGTCACCACCACCACACCAAGGTCGTTGACGCTGCAAATTCTATTCAAAAGAAATGAAATCTCCAAATTTTCGCCCTTGGGGCTTCATCAGGGAGTAAAATAAGCCCCAAGGGCGAAATTTGGAGATTTCATTTCTTTTGAATAAAATTTGCAGCGTCAACGACCTTGGTGTGGTGGTGGTGACTGATCGTGATATGACTGTATTACTTCAGTTTAATCTACTGTGTGCATCTTGGTCACACCAGTTATAAGCTTATAACTACAATAATAATTATTATTCCTGAAGCTATGGAAAGCTTGACGTTACTTTAGTAGCGTCTGCTGCTAGCCAGGGTCCACACCGCTTTAATTCGTATATGTGGTGTCGAGCAACCATCACGTGACGCGCCTTGCCTGGCGTGCTACCCCGCACATTCCCGTACCGCACCGTCAAAGAAATCTGGCCACATATTCAAGTAGGGCTTTCAACGGCAGGAAGCAACTTGGTAGAATGTGTATAGTGTAACGAGGGAATGCAAAGCAGGGCAATAGTCTGGGTTCGACTACTATGGTATGTGTTGAAAACAAGGAATGTCAGATGAAAACTGTATAAGCTAGCACCATAGCATAATACAACTCCTTGGTAGAATGTACCTAGTGTCTAGGAGTTTGAGTTTTCAGCTATGTATATATAGCAGTCAGTGAGCTCTGCATAACGCAAACAGCAAAGGCACTACCCCACGCAAGATATATCTTGCGTGGGGTAGTGCCGCTATGCAGAGCCCACTGACTGGTCAGTTTGAGCACTCTGGCAAGGTACATTGGTGCCTGGTTTAAATCTGGCGTTGGAAAATTTATTTTTCATTGCCATCAGGTTCGGCCTCATGTCCTCTGTGCTGCGCTGACGAGTCCACAAAGGACGAAACAGTTCTGTCCGCAGATTGAGTATTTCGCTCCCGCTCTTGTAGCAGTTGAGCACTCTTGCGTGGGGTAGTGCCTTTGCTGTTTGCGTTATGCAGAGCTCACTGACTTGTCAGTTTGAGCACTCTGGCAAGGTACGTTGGGGCCTGGTTTAAATCTGGCTTTGGAAAATTTATTTTTCATTGCTACCAGGTTCGGCCTCATTTCCTCTGTGCTGCGCTGACGAGTCCACAAAGGACGAAGCAGTTCTGTCCACAGATTGAGTATAATTATATATATATATACAGTCAAACCTCGTTAGGACGAACACTGATAAGGCGAACTTTCCATTAGTACGAACTAGGGCCAATCCTATGGTTGGCCAGGCATCATATCCAGTTAAAATTATTCGTTTACGACGAACTCCTGTATGGCGAACTTTCGCGAAGACGAACTATTTTCAAGTGTGATTTGAATAAAATCAGCGCGTAGTATATAGTACGAACTTTGGGTGTGTGCGCGTGCGCTGGCTGTCTTTTTTCTTTCTTTTTTCGATAGCCGGGTCCATACATTGATTGTACGTACATAGATCTACGTAGTGAATCGTAGTAGACGCACTGACGTGCGTGCTTTCTAGGCCAAGCTTTGGCGTACACTGTTCGCGTCGTTGATCGCGTGAGGCGAAGGTGACTTTTATTCCGTTTATTTTTGCAACAACGATGTTGTCCCTACCAGTGTTCGAGGTGAGTTGTGAAGTGTTTTGTGAAGCAAAGAGCGTTGATCCGTAGAGGGTAGTGGCGTTCCTGCGGATGCGGAAAACTCGGCCTCCACTGGCTCCGACCGAGTCTCACACGAACCGTGAACTTTTTTGTATAGTATGGATGTTGAGATGCTGTGCTTCACATTCACACTCGTAATCACTCATATTCAATCTATGGTTTATCGTAATGTATTTGTTTGTACTGTAAAAGCAGAAATTTTCCGTGGTCTAATATTTTTGGTATTCGCCAAAATCGGCGGTTCGGTAGCGGGAAATTTTCGGTAAAACCCGTTCTCCAGGTAGGTGTACTAGTACTACATGTATACAGTATCGGTTGTACCGAAAATTTCGGTGCGTTTTATTTTCGGTAAAAAAATTGTCGGCACCGAAGTTACCGAAAATTTCTGCTTTTACAGTATATGGAAGCACAGTTACGAATTGTAGCACATTGCCTGTTTCTGGCTTATGCTGAGAATAAATGCTTCCCATTTACCACAGTATGCACCTTCACGTAAATACGATCCATAATCTGCATATCGATATTTTTTTGTCAGATCTGGATAAGAAGAACTCCCGATAAGACAAACAAATTTGTTCAGCCCCTTGAAGTTCGTCCTAACGAGGTTTGACTGTATATATATTTTAACTGGTTTGAGGGAAAGAGACATACGGGAAAAGTCTGAAGAAAAAAATTGACTGTCACCACCAGGACTCGCACCAGGAACCCTCGCTTGTAGCCAGCGATGCTCTAACCGCTGAGCTATGGTGTAGTCGTCATCGCAGCAGAGACCGTTCAACATTTTCTTCAGACTTCGTAACTCACACTTCCTGTGAATCCACACAGGCGGGTGGGACGCAGCCCTCACTGTACCCACGCACTTCACGTACAAACTAGCACGCGCGGAGCCCCAAGTCATAACATTTTAACTGGTTTGAGGGAAAGAGACATACGGGATATATAGGAGGAGATCCCTGTCAACGCGAAGAGTGCTCGACAGTGCTGCAAAAGCACTGGAGCTGATTCACAATCCAGTATAGTCCTCACCAAGTACACATTCTTTCTGTTGCTACTCAGAGTTTCTTGAACAATCAATCATCAGGCAACAAACAACTAAAGCTGGGCATGCAAAAACAATGCTAGATATACCCATCACGCAGCAAGCGCGGACACAAAAGTGTCAAGCGCAAAGTGTCAGGCACAAAGTGTCAGGCGCAACGTAACTTAGTTAGAAAGACAAGTGTTAGAAAGCAGCGCAGTTGTCAGTATGCTTTTCAAGTGGCAAGCTTGTGAGTGTGGGCTTTGTATAAAGTGACAATCGTATTCGCGCAATTTTGATGGAAGTGTCCGTTGCAAGTGAGGTGGGTTGTCACGTCCATTAGCCGGAGTGCAGCGTGCTTTCCTCGCTTGTTATGTGACCCCGGTGAAGTTGGCTAGGCGATACTTGTTAGCGTGGCGGCATTTTGCGATGACTTCGCTTCTCTGGTTGAGCATGGTCTCGTCGCCAAGGAGAATGCATGTTTTCTCAGCTGTGCACAGGTTACATCTTTTTGTGGCGGTGCTGTAGGAGTTGGCCTTTTCCTTTATCTGCCATCTGAGCTGGCAGTCCTGGTGGTTTTGTTTCTTCTCCCAGAGGTGTTTCGACAGCTCAGTGCTAGTACGGTATCTCTCATGTCGGAACGACGTGGTGTGGTTGTTGTATCTGGCTTTGAATTCCGTGTCTGCGCAGCCAATGTATAATCTTCGCTCATCCTGGCTGGTGACATGTGCCTCGTATATAATGTGTGATGCCAGGCAGCGGCCTTCCAGTGGGCATTCGTCCTTTTTTCTGCAGTTACATGATGGCTTTTCAGGTGTAGCTTTGGTCAGGAGGCGCTTGTTGTGACTGCTGATAGAGGCTGCGACGTTGTGACTGCTGATAGAGGCTGCGACGTTTGGCATGCAGCAATAGCTGACTTTTACATTGTTGTGGTTGAACAGTTTTGCGAGCGGGGTGTTCTTGAAATGGCGATCAATCATATACCGTATTTTTCCGGTTGTAAGTCGACCTTTTACGACTAAAAATGGAAGGAGAAAGGGTGGGGGTCGACTTACAACCGGGATTCGACTTATAACCGGGAACTATCAGTATCTTACAAAAAATGACCTGCCCTGCATGCATGAGTGCACCATGTGTACACACTTTAGCCAGTTTATTGGCCTTTTTCAAGGATTGGGACGTTATACCCTCCAATAAGGAATGTTTGCATGATTTGTTGATGTGTTAGTAGCAGGGAGTGGTTAGTAGTGCTTCGTTGGGTGAAACTTTAAAACGCAGAATTGAAACCTCCGGATACGGGGGTCGACCTATAACCGGGGTCGACTTACAACCGGTAAAATACGGTATATACCCGAAGGGGAAACAATGGTTACCAAGAAAACATCATTTCACTTTTGCTACTCAAGAGTTTCATGCACAAGCGGGTGCAATCATCAGGCAGGCAAAAAGCAACAATAGTGGACTAGCCAGAACAATGGGTCTTATAACAGGGCCTGGCGAGGTGAGGTGAGAATGATAGGAGCCAAGATCAGGGTCAGAGAAAATTAGTGCCAGTCAAAGGAAAGAGCAATTTGGGCTAGTGCAAAGCCAGCATATATATATATATATATCTTGACTAGTTTGAGGGACAACAATATAATAGCTCTGTGAGCTGGTTCAGCAGGTAGGCTCCGACCAGTTCGCACACCTCCGCATCATCAAACGATCCCATCGTGACATCAAACATGGATCCGTTGCCCTTCTTGATCCATGAATGGCCGTCCTTGAATATCACGGACTTTCTTGCATGCATAATAATGTTTCTTTCTTCATCTGTGATGACAGTGTACGTTGCTGCAAAGTCGAGGGCCTTCTTGAGGAGCGTTTCGCCGATCGACGGATAATACTGGACAACATCGAAACAAACAAATGTGTGTCTGCTCTTGTCGTCTATTCCTTTGACCCAGTCGATGACAGATCCGGTACTTCTCCAGAGGTTGATTTCAGTTGCCACACGTACAGCGCTCACCATGCGGTCGAGGATCGCGTTGCTGATGACACCCAGTTCCGATTTTGCAGGGTTGATGAGTCGGCAGGGCAGGTCGTTCTTGAATCGGTCCTTGTGATCTTTAAGTGTGATGAAAGCATCTGATTGTGCCATAATGTCTACGCGGTCGCTGGTGTTTAGCTTCTCTGCTAGCTGCTTTGCTTCGTTGTTGATTTCGGTGTAAGTGTTGTCCGGTGCCTGCTTGTATGTGGCTGTGACGTTGTCTCTCAGGAGTTTTTCATACTGAGGCTTACTGACGGAGTATAAGTTCTTGGTTTTGTCCGCCTTCACAATGATGTCCTCAGTGTTCGTTAGAGTCTTTATGTCCTCCTCCAGTGTGTCCTGGAAGTCGTCCTTTACCCGGCGAAACTTGATCTCTGCCACTAAGCTCAACAAGTCCTCTTCGCAATGCCTTCACCTGTGGCACTTGCGGGGGTGCCTTCTGGGTGGGGAAGCCAAACGTCTCAGTGCTTTGCGCCTTGTCCTTGCCATTCAGGAAGAAATGGGCCTTTCAGCGCATGCGGCAGATGATGCTCTCGACCTTCTCCACTAGGCACTTTCGGTATGCGCTTGCTGAGGGGATGGGTATGTTGCCGAGCGAATACCCTAAATCCGTCTTTCTCGGTGGGTCCATAGTTGCGACATATGGGAGAGAGTGCTCTCTCTCTCTCTCTCTCTCTCTCTCTCTCTCTCTCTCTCTCTCTCTCTCTCTCTCTCTCTCTCTCTCTCTCTCTCTCTCTCTCTCTCTCATAGTAGTTTGTTGAGATATCAAACAAATCTACTTCCTTGTACTTCACTCTTTTATCTCTAAACTGGACCTCAAAGTCACGGGTGCCTTGGTCTACCGGGCATCCTGGGGGTGGGTTTAAGTGGAAAATTTACTACTCTTTTGCCATTATACGTGGAAATACTGACATCATATTCCAGATGCCTGGCTTTTCTCGATTGAAATGTATGTGATCCAGAGTTACCGACGTATCAGTTATGGGCAGTACTCGGTACCGGACCACCCGAATAAGGAAGACATGAGTGTACTGCGGCTTGCTGTTGATATTTACGTTCTGTGGAGAATGTCTATAACAGTACCACACTTGTTAGAGTTTCATGCGTTTTCATGTGTGTGTATGTGTGTTTATCTGTGTGCGTGTGTGTGTGTGTGTGTGTTTGCGGGTGTGTGTGTGTGTGCTTGTGTGTGTGTGAAATTGTCATGTCTATGTTATTGTGTAGATACTGGCAACATTGCTGCAGGGAATTCATCCCACAGTGCATCCCACGGTGCATACCCCAGTAAGCAGCAGCAGAAAATGCCCCTACAGCTGCTTGGCAGTGACGCAACGACATCATCAAACAGCTCGGCAAGTGACTGCGGTCATCACATATAGACATCAACAATGAGTTCTGCGGGTATAATCGTCGGTCCAATCACAAGCCGTGACATCTCTTCCCATGGCTTCAGTGATCAGCAAGAGCAGATGCACTTCCCACCACACCACCAGTATGTCGGGCATACACAGTGACCACCGCAACCAAAGCTTCAGCAGCAGCAGTAGCAGCAGCAGTAGCAGCAGCAGTATAAGCTGCGACATCAGCCATCACCACATCCTCCCATACAGTCTTCAAATCATGGAATGGTCACACGGCTCCTCTCTTGAACTCTGTATCAAGTGTTGTGTGACATCAGAGCATCACTCTCCAATTCCAGCCAGTCTCACCGCTCCACACCATCACTAATCATGAAACCGACGTTGCAATAACATCAAGGTGTAATAAAGTAGCAGCAGCAGCAGCAGCGCCACCACAGCCAGCACACTTTCCATACCAGCATGATACAGTGATTAATAATCATCAAAAGCCAGGAGCAGCTACAGCACCACTTCCACAACATTCTGCTGCACTGCCTGATAGCCATGCTGCTGTTCCCATGCCGCAAAATGGAGGGCAGTCACTGGATGTGGGAGAGGCCAATCATCACCTGCTGCGCTCGAGAGCAGTCATCACAGTTTCAGTCTATGGTGTGATGCGAACACTTGAACCGTTTAGTCTCGGTCCTGCTCAGTAGTGGAGTCGTCTAGTGGCAGCAGGACATTTATTCCACTCTCCCAGGATTTTGAACAGGTCATTGTTACTGAAGCCATGATGCTCTCCGGTGAGTTATCTCTGAGTTGTTGTGCCACTACTGCTGATTCTTAAAACTCACACAAACATGCACCCTCTGTCACTGTCTAGTTGAATGGAGAGATTAAACTGGTTTCCATGGTTATGGAAACTGCACTGGTGATGGACTTGTTCTTGCTTTTGTCAGTTGCTTTGTGGAAATGTATTGTATTGCTGCTACGGCTGTGGGAGGTGTAAGAGAAGATTTTTTCTACTGTAGCATCTGCCCCTGCCACTGAGCACATATTCATATTACTCTTGCTTCCAGGCAGCACTGAATAACTCGTACTGAAGTACTGCTACCAACTCGTATGCTCTGACTGACGTTTTCTGCGCTTCACGTTGCCAAGTGGAATGCTAGTGGTTGAATATTCATGAGTTTCAGCTAACACCTTACTACAGCGACGACCTACTCTTGCTTTAACGTGCTAGCATTTGAGCTTGCTTGCGCAACAGCATGGTGTAGGAAGCAGTATTGGACTGAGTCGAGGAGACACAAGCATTAGCTGCCAATTGAACCTTTGAGCATTTCATGTGGTAGGAAAACAGTATGATTGACTTTACCATTCCGTTTTTGTCTTTGCATTGTGTGCAATGCTGTGAAGGAGAATGCATAGCAAGTTTGCCTCAAGGACCAGCTGCAAAATAGGACAACGCGGTGTGCTGCCTTCCCATGTAAGAGATGTGTGTTTTTGTGTTCCTGTGTGTGTGTGGATTCACTGGCCAGAAATAGCCACTTCATAGCTGTGTGGTGTAGACCAGGCTGCCACGGAATAGTGGCGGTCAATTCTTCAGCCTTGCAATCTGTTGAATGGTGCAATCCCAGCACAAGCTGCTATGGCTTCTGCTGTAGCATCGCTATCATCGCCTCTGGCGATGGGCGTCCAATGGTCCAATGGTCCAATGGTGTGTGTGTGTGTGTGTGTTTGCGTGCATGCTTGCGTGTGTACGTGCATGGGTGTGCGTGTGCATACATGCTTGAACGTGCATGTGTACGTGTGTTGGGGGGGGGGGGGGAGGGTGTGCAAGCGGTGAACATTTGTAACGGAGTATATGCCCAATATTCAATGAATGGCTTTATATCTTTGTCATGTGCAGAAAGTAATCATGGCATGTGGGCATTGTACCCCACATGGCTGACATCATGTGACCCATAAGCGCAGGGGTTGACTAGAGTTGAAACCAACCTGGCTGTCCAGTGTACAGTAAACTTTGCGTGTAATGACACGCGGCCGCCGGGCATCAGAAAAGTGTCCTTATTCGCGAAGTGTCGTTATACCCGAAGTCTCATTGTACGTATTACAGTTAGATGGGACTTTGCTCTGGGTATGGAAATTCTGTCGCTATTCGTGAATTGTCGTTATATCCGCAGTCGTTACTAGCAAAGTTGACTGTAGTAGTGTGATAGATGTCGCACCACTCTATACTGGTAATAAGTCGACCTCTTACGACCTAAAAACTGAGCTAAAAAAGACCTGTCGGCGACTTACAAGCAGGGTCGATATAATTATAACCCTGGCCTGGAGGGCGGGGGGGGGGGGGGGGGGTACGATGAGCTGTGGGTTCGAGCCATTGCCAGGCGCCAAAGTTGCAAAAGAAGGATCCACGAGTTGGATTCAAACCCAGCATAATTACCCCGTATCCCACTTTTCCACTTTCCTTTATTGTCTTAGTAAAAGTGGGGAGGCTTCCTGCAGTTTCATATTAAGAGTAGAGCCCACACGCTCTCTTCCATGAACACTGCAATAGTTCAACTCATTTCACAATAATTATTACAACGTTTCGGCAAATTGCCTTCATCAGGTTCACAATGATGTGCAAGCTCCCAAACCAGCATTGATAAAGGCCAGCAACTCCCCTGTCAGTAAGAGGGTGTGAGAAGCAGCGCGAAAAAGAGTTCAGCTAATACTAGCGCTAACATCGACTATCAGTGGAGGGGATTACAGCTGAGGTCAGACCGAAACAACACATTATTCAGCGCCCATGTCATGATAATCAAACAATAAGCGAGTGGCGATACAAATTACAGCAATGACCACCCAGCGTTAGTATTGATCTAGCAGGAAATTGAGGGAGGCTGTGGAGATCAGAAATTTGGCTCCAAAGATCAACACTAACGCTGGGTGGTCATTGCTGTAATTTGTATCGCCACTCGCTTATTGTCTGATTATCATGACATCGGCGCTGAATAATGTGTTGTTTCGGTTTTACCTCAGCTGTAATCCCTCCACTGATAGTCGATGTTAGCGCTGATTAGCTGAACTCTTTTTCGCGCTGCTTCTCACACCCTCTTACTGACAGGGGAGTTGCTGGCCTTTATCAATGCTGGTTTGGGAGCTTGCACATCATTGTGAACCTGATGAAGGCAATTTGCCGAAGCGTTGGAATAATTATTGTGAAATGAGTTGAACCGCAGTATTGCAGTGTGAATGGAAGAGAGCGTGTGGGCTCTACTCTTAACTATAATTATTGTCTTGCCACGCTAAATGCCATGTATGGGGCGAATCCCTAACTTCGCCCCAGACGAATGTGCACTTATGAACCATCTAATAGTGGCTTTCGACTGCATTTTCATTGAATTGCATGAAAAACACGAAAATCGGAAAATGAGTATTGTAGGTCAAACAAATGTTCGGCGCATATTTATTTCCGGCTATTTTCGGCCTGATTATATTTGGCTGAAAATTTGTTGCATCAGAAATTTTGTTTTGCAAGGTTCAGTGTGACAGTGTATACAGGCAGCAGCAGTACAGGCCGAAAATTACTTTCAGCCGAAATGTGTTTTAGCCCTGGGAGGCATTTTTGCGATGCGACGGCCGCGAAACCGGGAAATCCCCAAATCGTAGCCATCTCGCAGCCCACGCAACTGCCTCAACTGCGATGCGACAAGCGATTTGGCGTACGATTTTGACCTTTTCTACAGCAAAGTTGTACAAAGGTTCAAGAGTTGCCTGTAAAATTGTACACGTTGTACCAAACCGCGCGAATACCATGGTGACGTACCCAGCGGCATTGAACTTCGCGCCAAATCAGCAAGTCATTGTCGCATCGCTGACTACTTCTGTGAATGGTATTTCGCGAGTTCGCATCGCACGCCTCCTTCGCGAATCGCGTCGCATCGCCCGTCGCATCACAAAAAAAGCTTCTGGATCAGAGTGAATCTGATTAAGGCTTCACTAGCACCATTGATTACACAAGAGTTACTCTAGCCAGAAGTAGTCCATCGGTCAATAGGTACGTGTACTTCACAGAGAAAGCACCGTAGCGTCTTGTACTAAAGCCTACTATCTCATATAGAAGACCCAGTGTTGTGAATAGAATCCTGATTTTCAAGATTTATTGACAGCACATACGCCTTGTTTTAGTGTTGACAAAGATTCCATGCCATTTCGGCGCCCTCAAGTTCAGCGCCAACCAGGTGAGCGCGACCGTTTAAGCGCCGTCAACATAAGCGCCGGATTTTACATCGCCACATATTTCAGCGCCGTGTACTGCAGCGCCAGCAGATAAGCGCCGAATATCTCAGCGCCACATAAATCAGCACCATATATTTCAGCACCAAATATGTCAGCGCGACAGATCTAAGCACCACAGATCTCAGCGCCATGTTTCCCAGCGCCAATTTACTATACAATGTATGTATGAACATTGCCTGTTGTGACTATGACTGTATAAGTATTGACTTTGCGCTGTGCCGTATCGCGCTGCACTTTATCGCGACGAACTGGACCTCGCTGTACTTGATCAGGTACTTGATCACGTACTTTATTACGTACTTTATCACGCTGAGTTGCTGGCACTGTACTTTACCGCGCTGATAATCATGGCGCTGAAGAAGACACACACACACACACACACACACACACACACACGCACTAACACACAAAAGCCCACACACAAGCCCACACACAACTCTTACCATCTGACATTGATGATGGGTCAGTTGTACCGATATTGAGCTTTCTTACAGTGACCTGTCTTGCGGAACAGGCCGCTGCCTGCACACAAAGACGTACCGTATGATATTCACAAACATAAAGATGCATGGCCTGTGTCTGAACAGTCACCTAACACTTGACCCTAAACTATTGGTAAGGGACTCACGAAGGAGTCAACAAATTTTAGTGGCGATCCTAGATTCTACAAGGCAAAGTACGCAATTCTATGGCAACGGTCCATGGCAATAGTGGAAGTGGAGTATAGAATTTTCCAGTCCACTATCATGGCAAGCTGTGAAATATCATAAGTCTTCATCATGATCGATATGCCATGCTCAGAGGTCACATCAGACATAGTTGCTAGCGCTCCGACCGTAGCCTAGGCAGCCATTTTGACAATTGCTAAAATTGCACGTATGGAATGCTGTGGATATGGCGTTGCATTTTTGTGCCATCACTTTGACCTACAGAGATATTTTCTCAACAGCATTATAGAGAAATTCCTGCAGGGTCCTGGCGGTAGGATGGCATGCAAACTATCGTTACAGAACTGTCGGGCGCCGGAGAACTGGGCGGTCAGGGTTCTAGCCTAGCCCGTTCTTATTTTTAGCAAACACAGCAGCTTCGTTCTTATTCGATGGTACCATACAGTCTTACATGTACAAATATGCAGAGTTATACGTCTGAGTGTACATTATAGTGTACATTACGGTTTCCGGTCTTATCTGCAAAAAATCCATCCTATAACCGTTCATAACAATTCTTGAAATCCTAGCCTGGACGTTCTTCGGCGCCCGACAGTACTGTAAATCCATTGCAGTACACTGTGCTCAAGTGGAGTACATGTTAGGCAAACCTTTTTTGTTGATGAATCGGCCCGTCTAGTCTACACCAGTATGTTACTAGTATCTAGGTGCAGTTTCGGCTGGTGCTGCGGCATAACGTAATGCTTGTCTTGGAAAAATATGTGTGAGCCAAGCGAGCATTCCTGGCTACATCCCTAATTGATGTAACTGTGATCATGAAGCGAATGCTTGACAATTCCAGTTTGGTTTCTACTAAGGATCACGGTCACGCTAGTGATATGGTAACTGTTCAACATGTGAATCATGATTTATAACCATGTCCTAACATGTGTGTGTGCGTATGTGCATGTGTGAATTTGGGTATGTAGGTGCATGTGTATGTGTGTGTGTGTGTGTGTGTGTGTGTGTGTGTGTGTGTATGTGTGTGTGTGTGTGTGTGTGTGTGTGTGTGTGTGAATTTGGGTATTATGTAGGTGCATGCATGCATGCATGTGTGTGTGTGTGTGTGTGTGTGTGTGTGTGTGTGTATGTGTGTGTGTGTGTGTGTGTGTGTGTGTGTGTGTGTGTGTGTGTGTGTGTGTGTGTGCTTTCACGCGCATGTGCTCACGTTTGTATTGATGTAGGAGTTATAAAGAATGGATCGTCAAGGTACGTGGATTACTGCAACAGTATGTGATTGATTATCCCAGCTGAGAAGTCATCCACGGTTGATCCCACTCAGCATGGTGATACGGTATGATCTGCTGCTATGTGTGAGGCTCATCTGCAGAGCAACATTGTCCTCCTATATCGCTGCCCTGTACTGACAAGACTACTTCAGGTATGTCAAGTAAGCGGCAAGAACAGCAACGGAAGCAGGAACAGACATAGGACAGATGTGGTGTGCTATATCCTTATTGTAAATATTCTACAGCAGCATATCACTGTATTGAATGATTGCAGGATGAACAAGCACAGTGGAATGCAGAAGAAGATGACAAGTAACTATGGTAACATTGATAGCTGCCTTTGAGACACATTTACCGAAGTGTCTTGTATTACAAGCCTGTCTCATGTAGAAGCCTGTTATGCAAGCCTGATTTTTACGATACTCTGCTAGCACAGAAGCCTGGTTTTAGCGTTGACAAACATGTACACACAAATGCCTGATTTGAATGGAAGCCTAGCCCTGACATCGGTTTTCACAGGAATAGGCCCGTCTTTCACACGTCAACATTTTGTCATGATTTCTGTACTGGGAAGTCCATATTTATTGTAATTTACTCTCGATGAGTGTTGCTGATAACAATGCAGATATGATTATTGTATAAACAACATCTGCTCAATAATTAAAATGTTGATGGTGTAAGATGGATGTATGGCAGTAGGCACGGAGTATTCCCCTTACTTCAGATGCTGATGTTCTTTGCATTCATATGCATTTTAGGTTCTTGGGAAGTTGCTTGGCATGAAGTAGTACATGTACTTTGAATCCCAGCAGCTGACTTCACACGCTTCAGTCATTGATTGTAGGCTGAGGAATGGCCTGTAGGTTGGCTGGAGCAAGGTCCAGGGACCAGAAAATGCTGAAAACTTTTGGAAAGGTGCCAAATTTGGAATATTCGCAAGAGAAATAGCCAAATATGGTCTGAATTTCTGCGGTTGCCATGGCAACTAGCCCATTTTTGCCTGAAAAATGGCCGTTGCCATGGCAACCATACACAATTGTGAACTGTGGTGGCTTCCTACTGCTGCAGCTGCTTACTAGCCACCCCCCCCCCCCATGCTGCTGCAGCTGCTGCTGGATCCTGCAGGTACCAGCTAGGCCGGGTGCCACTTGGCTACTGCTATAAAAACCAGTTGGTTGCTAGGCTTCACTAGTCAGGGTTCCATAGAAACTTTAGGTCTACAATTTTTTTAAAATAATGTGAGAAAATATTTCAGAACTGTGTCAAAAATGATTAGAAAACGTGAAAAAAGTACGGCTTAGAAAAAGTAGTAGAACAAAGAAGATATTTGTAAAAGAATAGATCGGTACTGATTATGCTGAAATAGAAGCAGAAAACTAGCAAAAGAATGTTTCAGCAATAGAATGTAGCCTGTAAGTAGAAAAGGAAATCTTGAAGTGATGAGGTCATTCACCTGTAAGAAGGCCTTAGGCCTGTGGGGATTGCCCTATCAAAAATTTGATAATAATAAAATAATAATTCACTAAAATATACATCGAAATAAGAAAATTAATGACAATGCAGGAAGGAGATAAGTTCTCAAAGTGAACAAGTATGTAAAGTTAGTCTATGCACATTACTGACTGTAAGAGATGAGTCATACAGACAAATACATATAGATACTTTTATAGGATAAGATTATACAGTGACCAAAATTTATACATCATGATCTTGACTGAAACAAGCGAGATAAGGTGAGTGCTTCAGTAGACTGCATGATCCATGGAAATTGGAGGGTAGGCCACCGTTCCATCCATCGAAATTAAGATGAGAGAGAGAAAAAAAAGAGAGAGAGAGATAGAGAGAAAGAGTGAGAGAGAGAGAGAGAAGAAAGAGAGAGAGAGAGAGAGAGAGAGAGAGAGAGAGAGAGACTGAGAGAGAGAGAGAGAGAGAGAGAGAGAGAGAGAGAGAGAAGAAAGAGAGAGAGAGGGAACTCGAAAAAAGGAAGTGGTTAAAAAGTGCAAAAGCATAGTGCATAGTTCCGTAAGAACATAGATACAGTGAAGCGCATGTCTACTACTAGGGTTAGAAGTTATAACATTACAATACAGCAGAGTATATAGTGTGAGTGTGGAGACTGGAAGTCATAGATACAATGCACCATTGTCTATGTGAACAGGTATGTCAAGCATGTTTTGTGGCCAGCAACACTGACACACTACATCTGTTGGAAGTCTCACTGCTGGTTGAAATCAGGAATTCACTGCAATGCTGTGGGTAGAATCATGGCCTGGCTTGTCAAGCCACCACTCCTTATCACCCACGATATCGCTTGGCTGCTCAAGCGAAATACCAACAGCCCGCACCAAGTCAGTCTTTGCCGCTTTCTTCCAATTACCAACACATAGGCTACCTAGTTGGAAGGTATCCAACCGTGTGTCAGGTGACGGGGATGGGCATTCTATATGCACTGCATAGTGTATACAGAATTCCTCAGCTGCTTCCTGAAGATCACCCCAGACGTGCCATCACCTATACAAAGTCATGCACAAACACACAAAGTCATGCACAAACACACAAAGGGCACAAAGGAGGTTTACAGAGTTCGTTCCTACTACGAGTTTCTTGCACAATGCAATAATCATGCAACTTGCACATACACAAACAAATGCCCAAAGTCACACCCACACGCATGGTGGATTGGTGGATTGGTTTATTTAACGTCGAATAACAAACAGGCGCATGCATGCACCAACACTCATGCACACATCCACACGCATCCACGCACATGTATGTACACCCAAGCATGTATGCACGCATGGAAAGCATGCATAGAACACACACACACACCCACACACGCTCGCGCACACACGCGCGACCGCGTGTACACACAAGCATGCACAACAGGAACATAATAATAGAGAGTAGAATAGTCAGTTGAACGAGTTACAATACAATACTGTCGGGTACTGAAGAACAGAGTGCCGTCGAAAAACAAACAGGCCAGGACTTCACCAAGCATAGCATACCAATGTATACACGGTGACACAATCGTGTATAGACTGCAGTACAAGAAAATAAGAACAACCTAGGCTACAAGGCTGACCCCCAAGTTCTTTAGCACAGGCAGTACTCTAGTTGGAGCAGGCATGATGCATGCAGCTGAACTAGAACTCTGAATACTATAGTCCTGCTCAATGAAATCCACCCATCGAGTCACTCAAGTACACACCACACATTGCATAGCCATATACCTGCGACCACTCGGCTGCGACATGGTGCAAGGCGCAAGGTTGACTCAATGTGACAGAACTTCATTGATCAGTACTGTCATGTTCTATTAACGAGAGAGCTTGGAAGCTCAGGGCCCTACGCTATGCTTTTTTGCCTTGATGACCTAGACAAAAAAAAGCATAGGGATGTTATAAATTCTTTAAAAAAATCCTTTTTTAAAGACATAACCTGGGATTCGAACCCGCACTATCGCGCGCCCTGCATGCATCCCCCGATACACTTCGCATACATACTAATTCTTCCAAGTTGTTTCACATTGTGATCTTGCATTTTAAAGCCGTATTGGAATATGCATTGTGGCCAGCCATCTTTGATGGCACGGTACGGTAGGGGATAGGAACGGGACAGGTACTATCGAGGGTAATACGACACCGTCTCCCGTACCGTACAGTACCATCTAACACAGCTGGCCACATACAGGTGCCCGCAATATTCAAATAGGGCTTTCAAACGCAAGATAATAACATGAAGCAACTTGGAAGAATGGGTATGAATGCGAAGTGTATGGGGGAATGCATGTAGGGCGATAGTGCGGGTTCGAATCCCAGGATATGCCAGAAAAAAATAGGAGAATTCAAAAAATTATAACATCCTATGCTTTTTTTGCCGTCAGATACGGATAGCGCCAGGCGTGACACAAACAAACACACAAACAAACACCAAATTAAAGCTGTGTGGACCCTGGCTAGCGCCAGACGTTACTGAAGTAACGTCTTCTGCATAGCTACGGGAATAACCCTTTACCATCCGTGCGTACTTGAATCGATCTGGACATGCATACACTAAAGCATTCGTAACTCGATCAATTCTTGTCGGAATGTAAAGAACTAAGTATCTAGGAAGAAGCCGAAGAGCCCAGCTTTCCATTGCATCAATCGGTAAAGAGCTGCGATGTCGCATTCCAAAGATATTTCGCTCGACATTTCAGCTACGGCAAAAGTCGAATTTCTTTCCGAGTGACTGACCTTGAGCGGGGATTTTCCTCTCTCCTGACATGCTGAGTCACTTTGGCATGCTTTGAGCGCGTGGGCAGCATGAAAAGAAACTCAAGCAAAACAATTTGGAATGTTTACGATGAAGGAGCGAGAAATGGCTGGCGAGGAGAGAATTTCCTCGTATATCCAGCTATGGGGTGTATTTGAAGCTCCCTGGCGCTTGATGTCTTGGTAGTGTCCTGTTTAAGCTCAATGTACGCAGCTCGTGGAGAGCTTTCCAGAATGCCCAAGATTGTGAAAATTGGTTGGTTAGAACCGAAGATATTCTCAGAATAAAGTGAGAATTATTGCATTTGGGACTGCTGGGGAAATTTGGTCGGATGGTAAAGGGTTTTTAACTAACTGAACATAGCCACAATACTGACAAACACAAAGGCACACACATTAGAGAGGTGTCGGGGTACGATTTTCCGTGCCAGAATCCGTATGTGCGGTGCGGATTTTTTCGAGGCGTGCTTCATACGATTTTTCGGCACGGAGAATCCGTGTGGACTGACTTTCATACGAACCATGTTTCGTATGGAGACTCTGCGTCATCGAGTGCAGAAAGATGTTCCGCGTACAAATTTGGTACGAGAAACATCGATTTTCCTCGGAAGTTTTGATTTCGGTACAAATTTTCAAAATAAAAAGGCATAGCGCGGCAATGTGACGTGTTTGCGATCGCAACCTAGGCAATGACGGCAAACACATAAGTTCCGTACTCTGGAACATTTCACTGCTCGAAAACGACGTATAAAAAAATCTGTAGAGCCTCTACGGATTACGACACGGAAAATCGTACTCCGGAACCTCTATATATAACTGAAGACTACGCTGTATTTTTAAAGACTAGGAACGACGGTACGCAATCCGTTTGTACGTCCGTGTTCCAGTACACTAAGAGATATGTGCAGCGTTCCTCTGCCATGTGCAGTGGTCCTCTGCCATGTGCAGTGTTTCTCTACCATGTGCAGTGTTTCTCTGCCATATGCAGTGCTGGGTTGTTGTGTGCAGTGTCGGTCTGCGGTTATAAACGGCATCCCAGTTCCAGGTCAGAGCTATTCTCACAAATCCCTTGTGTGGACACTGCCATTTCCAACGCACTGAAAAGAACTGAATCAATTTTAACCCACACCTCGTGCATGCACTGTAATGAGGAAAGCTAGGATTTATAATTATCATATCTACATGGAAGGATTTCAAGCAGCGATGTGACACTTTTATACATCAAGGTGTTCGGTAAGAACTCAGTTGGTGAGACAAGGAAGTAGTCTCAATTGAAAGCATGAAAGAGGGGTACGTGTTATGCGTTAGTCAGACTTGCAGAATTTAGCATAAAACTGTCAAGGAGCACTGATACATCTCCGCGGCACGGAAGTGAACTTGAGCACAGCTCCCGCTATCGTACCAAACCAGCATTCCGTGGAGCCTTGGAAGGTAGCTTCCCCTCTTTTGAATTATCATTAATATCCATGAACTTTCCCAGTTGGAAGGCTGTTGGTTATCACTATCGAGCAGTGCTCAACCTCACTTCCATGCCGCGTGGAATTTCTCAGTACTCCTTTTCAGTTTTGTTCCAAATTGTGAAAGTCTGGTCAAAATCTGGTCTAGTTGCTGGACTCTTAACACAAAATGTGTGTCCCACTGATTTCAATGCTTTTAATTTAACTTCCAGGCTAAGTTATCTTTTTGGTGATACTGGCTGAGCTGCTCTATCGCTTTTGCATTACAACGTCCAACCCAGCCATCACCATCCAACCTATGATAGTTTTCATGCAGCGCTTGTGTTGACGTGGAGACTGGTGCAAGGGATCTTGATGGGTGTCGTTTGCTGCAAGCTCTTTCTGGTTTCCTGGCAACAATGGCATTCGCAGAGAACTCATTCTGACCCCACCCCTCCCCCCTTTGATTAACGCCTAGAAGACCATAATGGTGAGGGGAGTAGGTAGACAGGAGAAAAGTCCTGGAAAGACCATTTCCATACAAGCCGCCCGGATTGCATTTTGGAAAGCGATCAGAGTGAGTTCTGTGTGGTTGCCATTGTTGTCAGGAAAAGAGAAAAAGCTCACAGCAAATCGCATGAATCCATCGAGACCGCGACCATCAGGCTCCGTGTCAACAAGAGCGCCGGATGGAACTACCGTAGGAAATAACTTAGTTACATTTGGATTGTGATTGCCGTGTTGGGACGTTGTGATGCAATAGTGCTAGAGCTGGTATCACTGAAAAGATGAATTACACATTGACACATAAGAGTGTCACATTGCTGCATCAAACCCTACCATGCCGATACGATAATTTAATTCCTAGCTTCCCTCGAGTGATTCAGTGCATTGTTCCATGACCTCCCAGATTTTTCGAGGTATTACTCTAAGTTATGTTAAAAAGTTTCGCCTGTCCTGACGTATCAATATCCCCATTATTCCCTAAAGGTGACCATACAAGGGCCCTTGCTTGCTCAAAGCTTTTAAGCCTAAGAAGGCATTCAGCACATAGAAATTAGAACCGGGAGAACTAGTATATTACAAGAGAACAAGCAATACTGTATCATTCTAAGGATGCCTGCAGTACTGCTTCTCAGATGATGCAAGCTCACCAGAGTCTGCCAGAAGCCATCATGGATGTTCAGCATCTCGTACAACAAAAACGGCAGCAGCAATAGCAGTGCGCGACGTCCGCAGAAGCAGCTGTGATGCCTCGGAACACATTGCCAATGATGTCAGCCTTAGTGCGTGCGGTTGGTCAAACATCACGATCAGCATCATAAGACATCGTGACGCCAACAACAACAGTGAATAGAAATACAGAGAAGAAAAATATGTCTGTAACTGTGAATAGTGGCGCATCTCTAATCCCTTCACCATCATGAACAATATGTTCTCAGCATGGTAGACAGAACATGCTAGCTTGTAAAGACAATAATCTGTTCTCTGGCAATTGTCAACTTTACACCAGACAGCAGCTAGCCACCTTGCAGTACCACTGGATGCAAACTAGCATTTACTTAGTTACATAAAGCAGTCCTTTGACCATTTCCAATGGCCGGTGTATATCATGTACTGTGCTATGCATGTGTGCATCTATGTATATCTTGTACTGTGCTATGCATGTGTACGCGTCTATAATAATTATATCACTGCTAAAGACTCGCTGTACTACTATTATCATAACCAAGTATACATTAGTAGCATCACAGTTGGTGCTCATGTAGCTGCTGCTGCTTCTGCTGTTGTGTTATCTACCACACACCAACTATATGCACTCCCAGTGTGCGTGACAAGAAGCCGACATAGCCACAGAATAGATTACAACATACTACTGATGCTACCATTTACATCATTTCATTTCTATACACACATACAGTGTACGTACACAAACTGTCGGCTCATCCCCGGGAATATAGAGCAAAAACAATCATCATTTCTAGAAACGTATCTGAAAGGGAAATACAAGCACAATCACATTCAATCCACAAGGGCTTACAGTTTCCACATAAGGCACACTTGTCTTCAGCTAGAACAATCAGGTGACACCTCCACACACAGCAGTCCAATCCAGGGAGCAGCACCAGTCTGCAGACTGATCACAGATCTTTGTTCTTTGGAGCTGCAGAAAACTGACAGCAATAGCAAACAGACAGCAGTAAATGGCAAATATAAAAATCAAACTAAGACTGTTCACAGACAGACAGATACACACACACATACGTGTACACACACACACACACACAAACACGCACGCGCATATGCACACACTTGCTTACTGCCAGAAACTGGTCCCATAGATCTCCCTGGTAGAGAGGAAAGAGATTCAAAAGTAGTCCTGGAAAGATAGCTCAATTGGCTCACTTGTGAGCTGAACAAACCTCAGTATTTTGGGGAGGACAGGGTGCAGAAAAAGGAGCAAGGGAATTAATTAATTGAGGTATTCGTCCCAGGTTCCAACTGCATTTGCACCTGCCCCCAGGGCAGGAACATGGGAAACTAGCTGGTTTGGGTAGCTAAATCAGAGAAGATCGGATAAATGGTCCACACACACCATTGATTGCACAAGAGTTCATCTAGACAGAAGAAGACCAAGTTTTCTGCTGGTCCCAAGCACAACATGCTGGGTGCAGACACAAGCACAACATGCTGGGTGCAGACACAAGCACAACATGCAAACACACTTACACCTGTACCAACACTTCATACTCTCTTACACCGTTTAAACCAAGAGTACATAATAAGAGTTTGCAAAACTTGGTTTGTCGCACGGCAGATTTTTCGACATCAACGTTTCTGGAGATCATGAGTAATACGGTACAAGACATGTACATGTTCTGCAAGTCCGTGGCCGTATGGACTAGGCTGGTTTTCACTTATTTTGCACTACGAGTACGATAAAAAGCTACGAAGCGGGCAAAGGCAATTTTTCGATTTGCAAGCAGCAAAACAACCAACACAAACTCTCCATGAAGGTTGGTGTGCAACGTATGGTTTGTGTGCGCTTTGCACGATGTTCGTCATGGAAAAGGTGACATCAACAATGCGCCCTGGACCAGGCCAGCTGCGGAGTTACGAACCCTTCTTGATGTACCTCTGACTATACTAACTTATTTTCACGATTCCTCTTTTATCCAGTTTTATAAAGCCTAGTCACTCAACGGGGCCCAACTGGACGCGATTTAAGAAGCAACAGGAACCGACGGGACGCTCGCAACGCCTACTGATGGCTTCTAATGCAAACGCCAGAAACTGGAACGCACACAAACTACCGTACAACTCAGGAAGCAACGGGAGAGTTGCATCCGTTCAACTTTACCGCATATGCGGGATGCAAGCATGGAAAGCGGCTGCATATTTGAGTGTGAACTGGAGACAGTGTCGTGCGCCCTTTATCGCCGCGTACCTACAACTTAACAAATTTCAGCACTTGAACACTAGCTTCCCTTGATAACTCACTTGAACACTAGCTTCCATTGATAACTCATGGAATGGCTTATGTGATGCGTTGACTTTTAGCAAGCTAGCTAGGATTGCATGTTACTTGCTGAATTCAAGGACTGTCCTGGAATGTACCAGGTGAACTGCTTTATCATTTTCTGTGGCCATTAATGGCACACAGCCCACGACTAATTTTGGTCTTCACGGAAAACTGGTATTGTGAGCATAATTTCGCGTCACTTAAGGATAAGTGTGAAAGAAGTTCCGAAAACAAGAAATTGGGGTTGACAATAAACTCGTCTCGGGCCGTGCTTTATGACCCGTGCCGATCGACGTTGAACAGCGCAACAGCATGTCCTGTTGTGTCGCACAAATGGCATCAGATTCTTACAGCTCCTCCCAGCCTTCCCCATAGGCTTTTAAATGTCCGTACCATCGTGTTCTGCTGAATGTGAGCCAGGCTTTATCAGCTCACACACATTATAAGAAACACACCCACCCACACACTTCATCTCTCTTATCTGCTCACATTCAACATTGCACTGATGGTACGGGACCTAAGAGCCTGTCGGGAAAGGCTGAGAAGACCTGTAAAACATCGTAGGAGTCGAATGACACGACATGCCGCATTGGTGCGATGTGTTCAACTTCGATTTTCCTGACCTACAAGGCATAAGGTCCATGACGGGCTGACTTTCGGCATGAAGTCCAAACAACTTAGCCACATACACTGGGCCACTCTAATAAAAGCCACAGATAAAGATAAAACAGTTCGTCTGACACCCTCCGAGTTTATCCCTAAATACAGCAAGGGGACATGAACATCTTAGCTAGATAAAATTCCACTCAGTCATGTGAGCCATTCATTGAGGTATCATGTGAAGCATAGTGTCGGAAATGATAAAATTTGCAAAGTTGCAGTTGAGTGCATCGGTGCAAAACGCCGTCACCAGTTCACACTCGAAATGCAGTTGTTTTCTACACTTGCATCCCCCCCGCATACGGTATGAAAAGTTGATCAGATTCAACTCTTCCGCCGCTTCCCTATCTGTAGGGCAGCACGGTTACGTTTCAGTTGCTAGTATTCACATTAGATGGCCTTGATCAGGGTCATGACCGTCCAGTCGGTTCCTGTTGCTCCCAACTTCGCATCCCATCGTGTCCAGTCAAATCTGAACTAAACTTTAGGCGTAAATATAAATACTGTACAATGCTCTCCCTAGATAGGTATAATTGTTGTGATAAGTTTCCATCATCATTGTCTCATGATAATCAATAGAGGAATTTCTAGGACTTGTTCCCTCAAACTGATGGATATTTGATGGACACCTGCCCTGTGATCAGTATCCTACTCACATCTTCTTGAACTACTTCCCATCGAGTTCTGGGCAAGATCGTAGTCAGTCGACAGAGAGTGAAAGGCGAGCAAAACACAAGGCTATAAAGGGCCTGGTTAGCTATGGCAATGCATGGCCAGCAATCGAGGACATCTGAGAGTTGTAATTTTTGTACTCCTCCGAGGTGTGATTTTTGGCGTGCTGGGCCCAGCACAAGGAAGCCATCTGCAAAAAAACTGCAGAAAATGGTTGTTGTTTGATCCTTTGGTGTAATCTTTGTTTCTAGTCGAAGCTAGTTGCTGTTTGGAGCAGAAACGCTGAAATTGACTATTTTCTGCATGTACTCATACATGTACTCATGTACTCAGGCATGCAGTCTCACTCGTATTTTAGCTCTTTTTCTGGAATGGATGCTGCTCTGCGCCCCTTGGTGAACATTTCCTGCGCTCGTGGAGCAGCTGAAAAGGACCACTGGTATGTCTGGTTCCTGGTTTGAAAGTGGAGAGTCGACTTTTGTGCCTTGAAAAAGGAGTAGAGAGCGATAGAGGTACGTCTGTTGCTTATTTTTGAGTGCTCCTCGTACATTTTTGATCGTGATAGAAATTCTCAGACCAAAGTCAGACCAAAGTCAGCGCGATGATGGCCGTACAGTTTTCTTGTGGATTTTTTAGTTGTTTCATCTCGTATCTATGTCAGTATCGTGATGGTGAAGTGGAGAGGGTGATTTTCTTCCTCTAGGCTTCGTTCGGCCGACTTTGCTTCGTCCTCGTTGAAAAGTGATCCTGAAAAAAAGGTCGATTCGAAAAATTATGTTGATTTTGAATGTACTTGATGACATGCGATTGCTGGCTATGGATGTACGAGAGCGCGAATGTAGCCACCCAGGCCAAATGAATAATACGAGAAGTGTGAAGCGGGAAAGGGTGCATGCCGTGTGTATGAGTGCGTGTGTACATGCATATTTGCGAGAAAGGTCGGTTGGTGTGAGAGTGCGTGCATACATGAACTTGTCGGCCTAACACCTCTTTCTCAAATACACCCACTTTTTTTCGTATCCTTTGTTTTGTGCTCTTCGCCTCTCCTCTCCATAATGTCCTCTTTAATGGTGTGGTGCAAACACTGAGACCCTACGGTCTTTTTTACAAATTTGCTTCACCAGTGCCGGTGTATGCAGCCAGTACTGCCCCCCCCCCATCTATTTTGATTGTATCCTAAATCAGTTAAAGGGAAACTGAACGCCAAAAATAAGTATGGCTTATCCGAAGGAGAATTGGGCACTGATTCCGATGAGCTATGTCTCGAGCCGATCAGAGAAGAGGAACTGTGTCAAATTTCATAAATAACACCTCCCATATTTGGAAATTGGCCTTGATGACGTGCGTACTGCTTAGCTGTCACCATGCTGTGCATGTTCAGCAGTGTAATTGAATGGAAGAAAACAATTACTTTGGTGTTTTGCAGCTCTGTTTCGTTTCCTGACGGTAACCAAATCTAGATGTAGGAATCTGTTGAGCAGGAGAGGGACACATGTCTTCCCGAAGGCTGTCCAGGCTGCAGTGGTGATGAAGAAGACACGATCATCACCCCGAGATCGATCGTAGCGAATTGGAAAACTCATGGTGAATTTGCTTCCACTCCAAGGCAATGTCGAGGTATGAAGGGTGCTTGTACTGCCTTCCAAAGTGAAGAGGAGATGAACATGGCTTTGCATAGCTGTTGTTCTATGCCAACTTACCTACTCTTGCTGGTACCGTAGTGGCATATTGCAAATTTCGTGGACGAACAACTCTAGTCACTAGTGGCTAGTGAGCAACACTAACAGGTGAGATTTTTCAATTCGACAAAAATTGTTTTTGTTTGAGAACTGACAGTGGCAGTCATTAGACTCAGTAGGTGTCTCTCTGCTGCTTCTTTCCCTTCATCGGTAGGGTTGTGCTTGAAGTAAAAATAAATAGAAAATGTGGAACAAAAATCTGATCATGTAATTCGAATTTGAACTTCAAAGTATGTGTACATCAAATCACAAAAATGACTGTCAAGGTGGTGCTGTGCATTGAAAAAAACTGGGCGCTGGCAGCAATGGAAAGGGTAGAGACGAAACCAGTAATGCAGAGTATTCATAAGGTAGAGGGAGATGAAAACGGGAGAGGAGTAGTGAGCACTTCAGTTTGAAGTAGTGTCAATAGACAGCATCGTGTTGCATACGTTGTGAATATTGTGTGAATCTAATAATTGTCACGAAATTGATATCCAAAATGATTATCCCCAGAGTAGTATTATGGTGTTCTCCTGTGTTTACATGCAGAGCCTTGACGTTGCTGGACGAGCGACAATATAAATTACATAAACATGTAGCTCGTGATGTGGGATGACTGCCGTATCGCATTGCCAACGCAAACCCATCCTGTGTCAGTGCAGCCATCCAGCAACTTGAACTCCCCGGACCAGATGCCGCTGCAGCTGAACACCATGCCGATGGAAAGCCAGGAGTTGATAGCGAAGCATTCTGGTCTGCACAGTACAAGGCAAAGAAAAATTATGAATTATAATGCATTGTAATCTTTCCCACACTTCTTTGTAAAAACAAACAAACAGTGCCATTATCACAACACTTGATCAAGCATCTTGATGGAGGTATTTTCCATTGTGCTGGCTCAGCATCTGCACCAGGAAGACCATGTACACTTACACGTATCTTGTGTGTGTGTGTCCGTGCGTGTGTGTTTGTGTATCTGTATGTGCACACGTGTGTGTGGGGGGGGGGGGACGCACATGTGTATGGGTAGGAATGTGTGTGTGTGTGGGGGGTACACGCACATGTGTATGGATGTGCGCGCTGCATGCGTGTGTCTGTGGGATGGGGTGGGGCTGCACGCACATGTGTACATGTGTGTGCGCAATACAGCATGTGTGTATGTGTTCGTTGAACACAGGGTGTACTCCTGATTACATAAACTTCGTGATCATTGCGATTTCATGTGCTTTGAAGTTGAAATTCGCAATACATGTACTGATGCTTGATTAGATTTATGTTCCACATGTTCTATTTATTTTATTTTACTTCAAGCACTTGTACTATTCAAGCACAACCCTACCAATGAAGGGAAAGAAGCAGCAAAGACACCTACTGAGTCTTATGACTGCCACTGCCAGTTCTCAAACAAAAACAATTTTTGTCGAATTGAAAAATCTCACCTGTTAGTGTTGCTCACTAGCCACTAGTGACTAGAGTTGTTCGTCCACGAAATTTGCAATATGCCACTACGGTACCAGCAAGAGTAGGTAAGTTGGCATAGAACAACAGCTATGCAAAGCCATGTTCATCTCCTCTTCACTTTGGAAGGCAGTACAAGCACCCTTCATACCTCGACATTGCCTTGGAGTGGAAGCAAATTCACCATGAGTTTTCCAATTCGCTACGATCGATCTCGGGGTGATGATCGTGTCTTCTTCATCACCATTGCAGCCTTGACAGCCTTCGGGAAGACATGTGTCCCTCTCCTGCTCAACAGATTCCTACATCTAGATTTGGTTACCGTCAGGGAACGAAACAGAGCTGCAAAACACCAAAGTAATTGTTTTCTTCCATTCAATTACACGGCTGAACATGCACAGCATGGTGACAGCTAAGCAGTACGCACGTCATCAAGGCCAATTTCCAAATATGGGAGGTGTTATTTATGAAATTTGACACAGTTCCTCTTCTCTGATCGGCTCGAGACATAGCTCATCGGAATCAGTGCCCAATTCTCCTTCGGATAAGCCATACTTATTTTTGGCGTTCAGTTTCCCTTTAACTAGCCGAATGTAGTCTTACCTGTGACAAAACAAGGAGCTGTCGTTTTACTGTGGTCTTGCACACAACATGATACGCATGTTCCGAAAGCAAGCCGCTTGGCAGAGAATCTTGTTAGGTCATAATTGCCACTCAGCTTCACCATTGCGCAACCTCCCTTCAGTGTGTCTGCACCTTGATAGCTTTACACCAGAGAATACAGGTCTGCATCTGCAGTGTTAGCTTTGTCAACATAGCAGCTGCTCAGCATTAGAACATTGTAGAGTTTAATTCCGTGCCCCGCAGTCTTTCACCAGTCAGCTAATATTCCAGGCTGTAGCTGATGCGGTGATATGAGACCAGTTACAGCACATGTCCAGAGTCTTTGTACTGGTACCAATGTATCCCTTCTTTTCCAGACTTCTTGCAATAGTACTGATAATGTATGCTTCGCTGCACAGCTGATAATTGAATATCTTTCAGACCCGGACCATCCTTTGCGAAGCCGATGATAGCGAGACAGGCTTGGTAGTAACGACTGAAAGGCAACACGGCGCTGAACTACTTCCAGGTCTGGTAGTCAAGGCGAGGAGAGTCAATTGAAATAACCTGGCTGCTCCAGGACATGCACCGGAGTCGGAAAGTACAACAGGTTATTTCAACAAATGCTCGTTAGTGACGACTAACAATTCTTTACCGAACGGGCATGACTGTTTAATACTGCTGAAGATATCTTCAACGCCTTGCAGCAACGGTACTAGCAGCATGTTTGGAGTCCTCTTCGCTAAAGCAGTCTATGAACTGAAAAAGCCTTTCTGGAACAAGAAGACAAGAAAACGACAGCAAGAAGCCGTTTCTGTATTCTGCAAGCTTAGACCTTGAGAGAACTGTTTTCTCACAAATATATCAACGGAGAGCGAGTCCTGAAGATATTGAACTTTGAAGTGATTAGCTAGCACCAGCTACGCGCTAAAAAGATTCACGTAGAATACCCGGCCTTAGCCTATAGTATAGGATAGGCCTTCGATCTTTGACAAGGATAGCTACTACTACTAGTACTAGCGCTAACTCGAGTCGACAGCGCTAGCGATAAGCAGTAGATTTTAGAGAAATCTTTCTATCGCTCCTTTGCAAAGTCCTTTTACAACAACAAAAAAGATAGCGTTTAGTCGCCATTTTCCGTAACCATTGGTACCCAATCACCGGTGGCGCCATGGCAGCGAAATGATCATCAGAACTGTACTGACTGTACCAGGCAGTATGACATACTGCTACACTACAGTCATAGTACATTGTAGTGTAGTCTACTACTACTACTACTAGTACTAGTACTACATGTACCTATGACCATGATGACTATGAATAAAGAAATGGAAGGTTTGTATGGTTCTGCCAATTTTACTGCTTTTCGAGCAGAATCTGCCACCTTTTCGAGCAGAATCCACGGGTCCCTAGCCTCTACAGTGAAATTGTTATACTAGCAAGAGTACATGTCCCTCCCGACATTCGAGGGCTTGGCTATCCCACGAATAGGCCTTGACGGATTATGCTAATATTTTCGTGAAATTATGCTTTTCGCATTGCTGAAAAAATTGCAGAATTATGCTATTTTTATGCTAAAAGTTATCATAATTATGCCGCATTATGCTCACATATGCTGCTAATGTATTATGTACATTTATATGATGGTTCTGTGCAAAATAGCAGGGGATTTTTTTGTAGAGGGCGTTGTCATAGTTGTACTGTAGTAGCAGAAGTTCAACGGGGTGAACGCACCGTCCGACCTAGCTACGACCGTCACTGATTGTAGTGGACTGGACATGTTATCAAGGGAGTCGTAAACCTACGACTTCCTGGTGCATCTACTGTCTTGTAGAACATGTACAACTGTATGGAATTTGATGCGAACAGGCGGATTATTCCAATTTTATGCGATTCGTATGCAATTTGCCTCGACTTATGCAATTATTCGATTTTGGTAGGAATTATGCGAAAAATTATGCTAGCATAATCCGTCAAGGCCTACCCACGAATCCTATCTACATGTACTACTCGGAGAGGCTCACCGCCAGTATGTGTCCTCCATTAGCACTAACCCCTCATCCATTATTGCATCCACCACTAGTCTGTTCAAGTTCGTTAAAAGCGGCTTCGTTCGCCATCTTCTGTTGTAAACCCTGTCATCATTGAACTCCACGAAAATAGCCTAGTTCACAATGACCCTACCCAGATTGCCAATGCTCTAAATCGCCAATTCATCAGCTTTGGAACACCGGATAATCCTGCATGATCTCTTCCTGGTATCGCATTTCACAAACTCCCAGCACTACCCTCTTTTCGCACTACTCCCACCGCCATTGCCAAACACATCCGTCGCCTAAAGCCAAAGAAGGCGGCAGGTGCAGATGGCATCTCCCATGAACTCCTAAAAGCCCTGTCTCCTAGTATAGCTATCCCCCATCAGCCTAGTTTTCAACCAGTCCTTCACCACTGGAATCTTCCCTGATGTCTTGAAGGCGGCCGTGGTTGTGCCTATTTACAAGAACAAAGGCAGTAAATTGTCTGCGTCGGTCCGGCCGATTTCACTGCTTTCCACCATTTCCAAGCTCTGTGAACGGGTGGCATTCGGCCACTAGACCAACATGCGAACCCGGTCCTTGACCCGTCACAGTCTGGATTTCGGCGAGGCGATTAGACCGCCTGGCAGTTGCTGAGGCTTGTGCAGAAGCTATAATATGAATGCAAGGATCAAAAACAATTAATTTAGTCTCTATGTTTTTTCGACCTGAGCAAAGCATTCGACACTGTCTCGACGAGGGGTCTCCTCCATAAGCTAGCAACGTTTGGCGTAACCGGGGTAAGTCTGCAGTGGTTCACCAGCTACATGTATCTCACTGAACGTCGACAGAGTGTCCGGACACCGGACATGCCCTGTCCGCCCCTCTAACAGTCCACTCTGGAGTGCCCCAGGGCTCAATCTCGGAGCCTCTGTTGTTTTAAAATGTATACGTAAATGATTTGGCATCTTTGGACCATACATCTCTCTACGCGGACGATACGGCGCTCCATATAACCGAGCCAGGCTTACTAGAAGCCTGTGACTCGCTACAGTATAATATTAATCAAGTTGTGCGCTGGATGTCGGAGTGGAAACTCCGCCCCAATGTGTCGAAAACGGCAATCCTGTGTATCCTCCACGACCCTCCAGTGACCTCACTCTCCTTACGACTCATGCTCAACTTTTTACTTTCCCTGACGATCCCATCGCTATCAACATAGTTAAACATCACAAACACCTTGGTATATTTCTTGATGAACACTTGTCCTGCTGGGATTCGCACGTAACATTATAATTATTGAAAAGCGAGATTTCTCCGCTATAGGCTGCATTTCTTCTCACATTTACCATCTGCAAAAACGGTTGTCGAATACAAATTTATCACTCTTATGTTCTTCTTTTGTTTGACTACTGCTCTCTCGTTTGGTCCTCCGGTTTATCCTCTGCTTTTATGCACCGGTTAGAAGTCACGCACCGTAAGTTGCTTCGATTGACATTTCGTATGCCCCCTCTAACCTCCTCTCAGGCGCTATACATTTTGGCTTCCTCTTCCCCTCTTTCAGAACGCTTTCCCCACTCGGCATGCAAATTCATTCACCGTATTAAGGTGTTCGCGAGTCAGTGAAAAGGAACGAGTGTCTGGAGGTGATTCCGCGAACCTATACGCCTCCGCAGCTAACGATGCACGGCATGAAACTGCTGACTCGTCTGATTTGGCGGGAATGGAGGATAGTTGTTGCTGAAGAAACTCAAACTCAGCCAAGATGTCTAAACGGTTAAACCGGGGAAGTATACCGAAATCCACCCCACCACAGAGAACTTCCTTCTCAATCTGAGTGAGGGTGACCCCGGTGAGATTGATGATGGTGTCATAATTATTGCTGGCGGCACCAAATCGATCCCTCCGCAATGTGGAAATTAGGTAAGAGTGTTTGTTGGTTAGTTTAGTGCGTTGTTTACGGTCACATTCAGACAGTTGCCAAGAGAATCTAATGAAATCGAAGATACTGAGAGACGAGCGAAGTATGCGCATACTTCACTCGTCTCTCAGTATCTTCGATACACGCTTTCTGCCACCGGAGGTGGACACAACGGATGACGGTAACGAGGAAGTCAAAGAAGACGAAACCGAAGATACCAACGATGATGACGGGATAGAAGGAAGAGGCGGTACAGACGAAGGCAATGACGAACAAGCCGATGACGACGAAGAAGACAACGACAACCCAGTTGGTTCCGTCCCCAGCGAGGGTGCACCTCCGGTCTCAGTACCATTCTTTGGGGGACGTTCTCGTCTAGGCCTCGACGACCTTGCCTCAACAGGCATAACGTGAAGAGGCACATGCTGGTGGATCCGTGCCTCCAGGTGCTGAAGAGTCCTACCCACATACCGGCTCTCATATTGCCGGCACTCGAAGTTGTAAATAATATGTGATAATTCCTCGTTACCGTCATCCGTTGTGTCCACGTCCGGTGGCAGAAAGCGTGGCCGACCACCGAAGAAACCACCGGATGGTGTGTCTGCGGGACCAGTGACTCGCTCTAGGACGAGGTTGGCAGAGTCACTATCGTCTCCGTCGTTGTCGTCATCGTCGTCGTCAGCATCCACTTCGTCGTCATCGTCGTCGTCAGCATCCTCTTCATCCTCCTCCTCCTCATCATCATCAACATCAACAGCCATCGGAACGTCAAAGGGAGCATCATCGCAGCAGGCAGTGCCATTAACGGGTGTGTCTTCGTTATTAACATCCACATCAGCCTCGTCTGGAATGGCAGTAGCGGCAAGGAATGTCAGGTCGGTTTCATTGTCACGTAATTCCAAAGTATGTACTGGGTCTAGTAGTGTTGTTAGGGTGTATGAATCTTCTGTTGCTAACCATCTTGTTCAGAATAGTGATTGTCGTTCTAGTTATACTGATGATTGCTCTTCCGTTTGGTCTCGTTCACGTAGTCAAAGGTATTTGCGTGTATTGGAGTCAATCTATATCTTTACCACCAAACCGATCTTGTGTAGGCAGAAAAAGAATTTGTTTACGTTGAAATTGTTTGTGAATTTAGATCAGTAGTTCTCGTTTTTGGTTGCATGGTTACTTTCTAGTGGTGAATGTATCTCATCTGTTGTCACCTGATATCGTTGATTGATGTAATGTTTCTTTCAACTCTCATTTCTCGTCCTAGATAGGGTCTAAATTATTACTTGCATTGTGCGTATATATATTGTGTTTAGAATTAGTTTTGATTTGCCAGTAATCCTTCCGATGAGATGGCCACGAAAACGTGCAAGGAACAAGACACTATACATGAAAACAAGTTTTGCTTATGGTGTTTGTACTGAGTGCGCAGCTTACTCTATTTATTGCGTTAATTACATTTTTATCTCCACGTAAAAAAACAATTTCACAATTCGCGTGAGACTCGGCTGGAAGCCGGGTTTTCCGCATCCGTAGGAACGCCACCACCGGTGCACCCTTCAAGGATCAAGGTGCAGATGCAGCTCCTAAAGCGGTGGGAGGTGAGTAGATCAGCTCACCAGCAAGTGGTCAAAGACCGAAAATCCCATTCACTGCATCCATGTTTTCCTCGTGCCAGGCCACGAGTTCCCAATTAACTGTGGGTCGCAGCACGGCTGGAAAAATCCTTCCGCTTCCAAGCAGGACTTGAACCTGGTACCCTCTGTTTCTCAATCATGGTATTAGACCATCCCACTATGCCTGCCTGCCTGTCTCCACGTAAGCTTAATAATAATAATAATATTAATTTATGAAAGGATGGCGAGAACTTCAAATTCAAAGGAACAGTAGGGGAAGTGAACTGCCTGAAAAGAGAAAAAATCGCCAGACCCACCAGTACTCGAACCCGGGACCTTGCTTGTCATGAGCAATGCTCTAACCACTGAGCTATGGGACCGGGCTGAACCTAGAAGGCGCTGACACGTTTTTCAC